GAATCTGCCTGCCAATGCAGGGGACACAGGTTTGAGCCCTGGTCTGGGAAGATCCCACATGCCGCGGAGCAACTAAGCCCGTGCGCCACAACTACTGAGCCTGCGCTCTAGAGCCCGGGAGCCACAACTACTGAGCCCACGTGTCACGACTACTGAAGCCCGCGCACCTAGAGCCCGTGCTCTGCAACAAGAGAAGCCACCGCAATGAGAAGCCCGCGCACCGCAACGAAGAGTAGCCCCTGCTCGCCGCAACTACAGAAAGCCTGTGCACAGCAACGGAGACCCAACACAGCCAAAAATAAATAAATTTATAAACAAAAAAAAATTAAAGCAAAAATGCCTTTAAAAATTAAGGAATATAGTTGACATTAGAATTAAGGGTTTATCAATTTATAAAGCTGGACCGAGAACACTTCTGAGAACAAGTCCCAGTCACGGACTTGATTTCACATACTTTTGACGTGTTTGGATGCAGCCAATGGAAAACAAGTATCAATTACATAATAATTACTTAATAATGTCAACAGTATAATGTGGCCAAAGAAATTACGAGCCAATACATAAACAAGAGAATTAGCATTCAATATCTTTTCCTACAATAAGAATTAGATAATGTGATGCAGAACAATAATGATATCACACTGTTAATAAAATGACTACAGTATTGTGGTTAATGAGACATAGAAGAATTACAAATAAAAGGGAAATAAAATTGCAACCCAAGTGAGGGATTCATTTAGCCAGTCTTCAACTAAGAAGGTTACACTATAGTTACAACACAGAACTTGGAAAATCCTATTACCACGAATTTAGATGCAACCTGACAATAAAACTTAAGTGATACCTTGTCTTAGGAAAAAGCACTGGGTTGCAAAAACCTGAAACTGTTAAGTCACAGCTAGAAGCTCATAAAAAAGCAGTCACCTGAACAGTTGCCAGCTTACTCTTTGAGGGTAGATGCGGGTTTTATGCTTATGTTAGCATTTACTGTAATTACGCCCTTGAGCAGTTCCAGTCTTTACCTGGGCAACCTCACCAGCATCACCCACCTCTTAGTCTCAAGTTATCAAGAGGTGAACTTCGGTGACCTGAGATGGCCCTTTTATTGGCAACGGTTGTGACCCTGGGAAGGTCTGTGTGTAGACATGGGATGAATTGGGAGATTGGGATTGACATATATACACTACCATGTGTGAAACAGATAGCTAGTGGGAACCTGCTGTAGAGCACAGGGGGCTCAGCTCGGTGCTCTGTGATGACCTAGATGGGTGGGAAGGGGGGAGGGGGGAGGGAGGTCCCAGAGGGAGGGGATATATGTATACATATAGCTGATTCATATGGTTGTACAGCAGAAACTAACACAACATTGTAAAGCAATTATATTCCAATTAAAAAAAATTACTTTAAATTACTGATTTTTTTTGGAATTCTGTATTTATGCAAGTGTGGTAGCAAGCTTTCTAATCGTGTAGTTTTGAGTATGCTATTTTTAAGGTGCTTAAAATTATTAATATGCTTTATCTGATGAATTAGATTTGCAAGAGCTGCTTTAGGTACTTGAGAAAAATTGGTTCATTAAATTTAAAATCGTACCTAAGTGTTAAGAGAATCAATTTATTCAAACATTCTAAGGAAAATGATAAATATGTATTAAATATTTGGGAATAATTTAATTTGTTAAATGTAATAAAATGTAAGTAAAAATGATTGCTTTATATTTTCACAAAATAGATTTGAGATAAAAAGATCTAAAGAATATCTAGTTTAAGATTAAAATATGAATATGAATTAAAACACAAGTAACTGTCAATGTTCCCCCTTGAACATTCTTGTAAAAACCCCACAGATACTAAAAATAAATTACTAACAATTCTAGTGCCAGGTTTTTTCTTCATTTTTAATATGAGACACTCATTATTCATTTATCGACACTAAATAACAAAGAATCCATTTCATACAAAATGAAGGGTTGTCTTAAGTGTTCAGTTCTTAAAGCTTATTACTAATAACATAATCATATTTATTTTTCTTAAATGGCAGCATAATTACTTACATATAACACATTATGAATGAAAAATAAGTAAACTTTTACCTTATAAGAATAGCTGATATAAAAATTATTCACCTGAGAATAGATTCTTTCATTTTATGTAACATGTTCTTTCAGGAAAGAAAATGAAAAATCAATGTTAGGAATATTAAAAATACATGAGGGGTAAGCATTTCTATTAAAAAAAAATTAATGTGTATTTATGTTACATAAAAATACAGCATGATTTTTCCTCAAATTCAGAGCACATTTAGAAGAAAATGTTGTGTGACCAACAGAACAATAAAAGCACGACAACACTTCCCCTAAATAGAATTGTGCCCCAATAAAATAGTGTTACTACCACTAGCAAAGCATCTGTCATATTATATTAAAGTACATAAGTATCTAACCTCTTCCTACTAGACTGTAAGATCTTACATGGCCAAAGTGGATACTTATTGTTCTATCCAAAGAACCCATTGCTTGAAACTTGATCACTAAGATGTCTGTTGAATAAAATTACTCTAAGAACATTTTAATGATAAAAATATTGGTTTTAGATAGTTTGGGCCAATTTAAAGGAAAAAAAAGGCTTTAAAGAAAACCCACGGCCTTTTACTGAGAACAAACTGGAAGAAAGATTAAGAGCTCACAAAGAGAAATGTAAAGGACGCTCATCATTGTGTTTTTCAGGCCTCGTTCCTAACGCTGCAGACAGATGTTTGCATTATTAGTCACGAACCATAGTCGCTCTGTGAAGTCCGGGTGTTCACTTTTAAGATTTGATTGTGGGTGGAAAATATAAGGCAGGTGATGTGGCTTTTTCTAATTTTTCCTAATATATGTATTTATATTTATTTGTATTGGTACAGAAAAAACGTTTTGAGATTATAATTAAAGACATTTTGAACTGTACACTGTCAATAAAGATAAATTTCATATTTGACCTGCTGTGTCCTTTTCTTCCCACCCCATTTACCCTTGTTTTCCTAAGTAGTAGTTAAATTATACTTCTGAATAGAAAAAATTCTCTTACTGTGAAAAAATGGGAACAGAACACTCCTACATTTTAATTTTAATTAAATTAAAATAATTTAATTCATGACCAAAATATATTCACTCTAAGTATGTAAAAACTTTTAAAAAAGTCCTTTTTAAAAAAAAATGCTTACAAGAGCACATTAATAGTGAAGTAACTGAATGAACTTAATAGATAGGAAACGTGATTATGATTGGTCAGCAGAGCTACAAAAACACCCCCCCCCAAAAAAAGAAAACCTGGGTATTTACATGAATATTAGACACTAAAAGATATCTCTTTACGGCACTGGTTAGCAATGACTTGCTTAGAAAATACAATGTGCTATTTACTAATTTATCTACAAAGGTAAAGATTTTCTTTCCAAGGTTTCCTACTTGTCTTCATCGTGTAGTACTGTAGTTTAAAAGTTACAACTTTTACTAAAGATGGAAAAGCGAGATTCTCAGGTGAAGAACCAAAAGGTAGGTATCCTGAGGCAAGTGCCCTGATAATAGAAGATTAAACGCACTAGGCCACTGAATCCTACGAGGGGAGGTAACTCCGCTGCAGGCTGTGGAATCCAACCAGAGGCTGTGTAAAACAGCTCATTTAGATTAGTTAGAAGACAGACCTCTGCGACGGCACGTAACGTACCTGCACTGTTAGCAATGTGGCCAAAGCAACAGAGGAAGGTGTCAGTCATGTACCTCGTACTGAGGCTGAGAAAGGTACACTATTGTACTTCAGCTGCTAGAGCCTAAAAGCACAGCTGTCTTATTACACGGGACGGCGAAAACTTGAGTTTCACCTACGTTAGTTAATAGCTTCATTAAAGGGTCTGGATCTTTAAAGGAGCTCAGCACCAAATCCTTCTGCTGTGGCTGCTGTGCTTTAAGACTCTTCGTAAAGCAATAAACACACCCTTAATATATTTGTTTTCACAAAGTTAATAACTTTCACTCATCTGGTTGAAATATAATGTCCACTAGTAGGATTTATATTATATTATATCTATAGTCCACACGTGGGCTCTACAAGGAAATATTTCTAAGACTGTCTTAACCATAATCTTACTTCAACTCTGTCAGGGAGTGAAATTCTGGCTTCTTATTAAAGAGAATTATGTATAGTTTACTTATCCTTAATTTAAGGCCCAAAAGCTTATTTACATTCCACCACATTCCAAAGTGAATCTGAGATGAGTAACTAAATAAATCTACACGGTGATGCAGTTAAAACTCTATAAAGGAGAGAGATATTCAAATAATACAGTTTATTTCTAAAATAAAAGAAAACGTGTCCTTTGGAAGGAAGATGACAAAAAAATTTCTATCTTCCACGAGGGGTGGAGGTATGGCTTAATTCTTGTAGCTCTATAGACGTCTGTCATTCTAGCCACAAACAGTCAAAAGAATCAGACTATTACATAATAAGATTCTACACATAGTCTTCCACAATAATGGAAACACCTCTGAATTTTACCGTAAGCAAAAGAACTGTAACGAGAGCACTGCACCTGAGTTACTTATGTCTAAAATCACCTAACAGAACGAGGTCTCGGTTCAGTTATTCTGGCTGATGAGTGCCACCCAGTGAATGTCACTTCCTGCAGACCTCTACGTGCACTGAGACTGTCCAGTGTTCAGGTTTTTAGGACGCCAACTTCCATTCAGTTTCTTTTAGAAATTAAAAAGGAGAAGCAAACTTTTGCTTTATGCCTCTGTTCTATGTGTTACTTATGTATTCGTTTTTTATTTAGATTGGGGTATTACGTACTTATGTAACAAGATGGTATAAACTTAAAAGATAACTGTTCAAAATAAGATGATTCTATCACTATTTCTTCAAATCATAAAATCACAAGCACTGTTTCTGAAAAGTGAAAAAGTACATATTCAACTTCACATACAGACTACAGTGCAGTATACTTCAGATACAAACGTGCAGTTTCAATGCATTATACACAAGTTTTATTTGAAGAAAAGCAAAACACACAACCAACAGCATTTCAATTAACGAAGTCAGGAAAATCCCACGTGCTTTCATGGTTCTCCAATTACCGTTCAAGCAATAAACGTTTAAACCAAAGTTAAAATAAAGTGAAACAGAAAGAAATGCAGTAAGCCAACTGAGCAACACAAATTCAAAATACTACTCTGTCTTCCTGTGTTCTTTCCCACCAAAGTGTGCTGTTCGAAGTACCACAAGTGTTGTCTTCTTCCTCTTGTTCTTTAGTGAGTTCTATAAAAACCTAAATGAAAATAAATTAATGAATACAATATTCTGCTGTGCAATTATCTTACAAAAATTTTAACTAAATCAGCAATAGCATAAGGCAATACCTAATTACATTAACCATTCAAGTATCAAGAGATATACTGCCATTAATATTATTTAAACAGAATAATCTCCACTAATCCCACAAAAAGATGAATGTTACTTTAGAGGATTAATAGATTATTTATTTTTTGATTAACATATTAAAGTAGCATCATAAAAATATTTATAAATATTTAAGCAATGTAATTTCAGATGTGCTAATATGAAATACCACCCATCATGACTCATTTTCTTCACACTGAAGAAAAAATACTGAGCTATTCAAAATAAGCAGATGGAGGAGCTCAAGTTGTTATTTACAAAGTTTAGGAATATTCTATAGCGATTGGTCTCTGGCTCACAATCTCCTTCCCTGTCCAATATATACCTAAAACAATTAGATACTGGACACTTTCTTCTACAGAAGAACTTTTGAAATTTAACTTTATAGTACCTGTTCCAATGTCGCTTGAGAAAAGCTGTATTCTTCAATGGCAAAAGTACGTTTAGCTGTTAAAATACAAAAATAATATTTAACTTATTAATATTTTCAAGTAATAAAATGGCAATAACTACTGAGTGGCTAACAATCTGGTTTTTGTTGTTGTTGTTTTTTTAATCTCTATAATCAACTCATTTCGATTTAAAGCTGCCAATACAGGTCACTTTCCTCTATCTGCTTCCTTTCTCTCCCAGACGCTCAATTCTCTACGGCCCTAAGCGCAACATATTTCACGGGACGGACTTGCCTTACTCTCCTTTTCCAAGCAGCCCCTCTTTCCCCTCCTTTCCTCTTCTCCCTCATTCCTCCTGTTTTCACGTTTCTTCTGCTCCTGCTCTGTCTCTCCCATCCCCCAGTCCCAGTACAGTCCACTCTGGACTTCTTACACTAGGTTCTGGATATCATGGGTCATGTGTCCACATGCTTTTCTGTACTTATTTTAGGTCCGTTTGCATTCTGGCCCAATATCAAATTTCTGGTTTTCTATTCATTCCTTTAATTCTCCCTAATTACTTCAAATGTTCTCTTTAATCATAAAGAAAACACTAGGAGGGACTTCCCTGGTGGTCCAGTGGTTAGGACTCTGTGCTCTCACTGTGGAGGGCACGGGTTCAATCCCTGGTCGGGGAACTAAGATCCCACAAGCCGTGAGGCGCAGCCAATAAACCAAAAAAAGTATATTTAATGAAGTAACACTTTTTTTTTTCTTTTAAAAAGAAAGCACCAGGAAGTTTCGTAGTTTACAAATGCCGTAAAATAACCTGTACATGAATACGTGCCCCACCCAGGAGACTGCCTCTCTCTGCTGGTGAGGTATCTTTATCCCAACTAACATTTATTTTTTAAATGCCAAGATCCAATAAACTTCTTTAAAGTTTAGATTTAGGAATGCCTACCCTCTTGCACTATGAATTTTCCTCTCCCTTCTCTGCCTGCCACTGGTGTCTTGCTACCATTGCTACCTCTCTGGTCTAATACGAAGTAAGGATTCACGAAATTCAGTGCTCCCACTTCTGGACTGAACTGGTGAGGGCTAATTAAGATGAACTTTCTCAGAGAGATGCAACGTGAAAAACCGCGGTGATGTCCAGAGTGAAAGGTTTACACTACAATACAGTTAATCTACAAAATCCCTAGCGTGCGAGTATTTACCTACAGCTTAGATTAAATTAGTAAAAGGTCATCTTCTTACTTACCATAGTTTCTACAGTAAACTTGAGTCCCAACTTCTAAACTTTTTAATAGAATTCTTTAATAATTCGAAAGCTACCTCACAATGTTTTTCAAATATTACTTACCTTCTTCCAGCTTAGAAAAAGATTGTGAAAGGGACTGAACATCTTCCTTAGGAATTTTAAAAGCCAAAATAGAAGAAAAACTGAAAGCAAAGATAAAATACAGGTAAATTCAAAATAACTACTACGCATTCTGAAGCTTTGAAAGTTCAAAATAAAACTCCAATAACTTATTTTGATACTTATTTAGACAAAAATTATTTGAAATCTTAAAATATTTCCATGCACAATAAAATAACTCTCTCATTACTCCTGGATAAGAACTTTAAAAACTTTAAATACTATTACATGTTGAAAGATCTAACATTAAAAATGAGTCAGCTTCATAAAACTCCATTCATCAAACTACAGTCCAATATTGGTTATACTACATTTTTTCATTAATCCTTAATACAATAACCAATTTTTATGATTATTGCTGTACAAAGAAATGTAACTAAATTTTTTAAATCTTTACCTTTCCTGACGGCTTGCATTTGGGAAAATATGCTGAATTTCTCTTTGAAGACGGTCTACTTCTAGGTTTTCTATCCAGTCCTTTAATTTGATTTCCAAAAAGTATCCTTTTCCAAATTTACTCTTTAGATGTTGGACTGTCCCAATACATCTGTAGTAATTTTTAAAAGGAAGTACAGATATAAGATAACCTGACAGTTTTAAAGATAATTTCTCACTTAAGAATGATTTAAATAAAATTCCCACATTGGAATACTTGTCAATTTATATAAAAGGTGAAAATATAAGAGATAATACAGAGTTTTCATATACCCCTCCCCCAACTTCAGTTTCCCTAATACTGTCATCTTGTATTACCGTGACACATTTGTCAAAATTAAGAAACCAACGCTGGTATATTATTACTGAGTTTACTGCCTTTACTTGGACTTCACCGGTTTCTCCACTAATGTCCTCCTTCTGCCCCAGAGTCCACCCAGGATCCCACTGTGCTGTGTGGCCACACCTCCTCAGTCTCCACTGCTCGGGGACACTTTCTTATTCTATCCTTCTTGGTCTTGGTCATGACTTGGACAGTTTTGAGAACTGTTTTTGTAGGATGTCCCTCAATTTGGGGTAGTCTGATGTTTTTCTCATGATTAGACTGGGGTGTGGGTTTTTGGAGCAAAGAGCACAGAGCTGAAGTACTTTCTCATCACGTCCCAGGGGGCATGTGATGACCACATGGCCCTGCCTGCTTAGGGTGGTATTTGTCCCATTTCTCTGCCGTAAAGTTACTATCCACCCCTTCCCATACTTTAGAATACAGACTGGCTTTAAGTCCAGGCGATACTTGGGAGGTACTACACAATCTGGCATCTTTCTGCAAAGAGATGTGTCTCTATTCCCACATTTATTTACTTACTCCATCGCTTACCTATATGAGTATGAACTCGTATATTTATTTTATACGCTGGGTTACAATCCCATACAATGCCTACCAATTTTTAAAAATAGCAAATATCATGCCTGAAAATAACACTCTCAGTTGTTGAATAATTAAGCCAATTCCAAACGCAGAGTGGCTGGTCAATTTTTGGAAAAAAGTAACATATTTCCAAGTGATTCTACAGAAAGCTGATAAAACAAGGGAGCGTTTTTTAACATTTAAGCTAATGTGTATTATTATAAGTTTCTGAAATGACGGCGTTCCAAATCCAGACGCGTGCTCCGCCCTGCGCCCCTCTCCCCCCTCCGCGGCAAACAGCCACCTTAGCTGCCCAGACACCAGGATAGCCACTCGGTCACAGACAGCCTCCACCTCCTCCATGCAATGAGTGGCCAGGATAGCTGCCCGCGTTTTGTTCTTAAACGCAGCTCTAATCGCTCTCCTACAAAATACAAATAAAATGAAAAGAAGGGAAGGTGGCACCTGAAAGTTCATGAAAATACCTGAGTTTTAAAAATCCAACTATTTGGTTAACTTATCAAATATCATTGCTATAATTAGTATATTCTGCCCAACTGTGATTCTTCTATCCCAACTCATTTTACCTTATTTTTGAAAGCTTGTCAAATGGAAAGAAAGTTCACGATTTCAAGCGTTTCTATGGGTTAAAAGTATGCTAACCAACCGATTACAGAAACCGATGGCTTTTTATGTTATAACAAAAACAGCCACAGAATCATAGGGAAAACTTAACATGCGTCTGAACCAAACCTCACATTTTATAGACATGGAAACCTAGGCTCAAAGAGTTGCTCAAACAATGATGAGTGCCTAGAAAGAGAGTTCCAATGGACATTTAGGACAATACTGTTATGAGATGTTTACTTACATATGTTACTTTATACAGGAAAAAAAGCCTTTAAAAAACTATTCAGACAACAGTACTCTCATTTTTGTCCTGGCACACATAATATACTGTTAACAGCTGATGAAAAATATGATCAGGTTTAAAAAGTTTAAGGGGATCTCGAGAAATTTTTAATTATGATTTCTCCTTTTGTGCAGGATTTTTAATCGATACATGTATGTAACTAACACAAAACCACCCGTGACGATGCTACAGCACAATGGGTCTCAAGCGTCCCTGACGTCATACTTACCACATGTGCTGTTTGGCTTTAGGGTCCATACCTGTGGATGGCTCGTCTAGCAGAGTAACGGGAGGGTTCCCCAGCATACTCAGAGCAAAACACAGCTGGACGGAAAGAAAACGGAGCGCGGGGAGGCTATAAGAAACTCTATCAGGTGGACCTAGAGTCTGTCATACAGAGTGAAGTAAGTCAGAAAGAGAAAAACAAACACCGTATGCTAACACATATATATGGAATCTAAAAAAAAAAAAATGTTCTGAAGAACGTAGGGGCAGGACAGGAATAAAGATGCAGATGTAGAGAATGGACTTGAGGACAAGGGGAGGGGGAAGGGTAAGCTGGGACAAAGTGAGAGAGTGGCATGGACATATATACACTACCAAATGTAAAACAGATAGCTAGTGGGAAGCAGCTGTATATAGCACAGGGAGATCAGCTCGGTGCTTTGTGACCACCTAGAGGGGTGGGATAAGGAAGGTGGGAGGGAGACGCAAGAGGGAGGGGATATGGGGATATATGTATAGGAACAGCTGATTCACTTTGTTATACAGCCGCAACTAACACAACAATGTAAAGCAATTATACTCCAATACAGATGTTAAAAAAAAATAGAATGTGAAAGAAGAAAAGAAAAAAAAAAAAGAAACTCTACCAGGCACCAGACTGTACACACACTTGTCGTTTAATAAAAGTACCTTTCGCTTGATTCCTGCAGGTAGTTTCTTTACCGTTTTCTGGAGATGTTCTTTTAAATCAAGTGCATTTGTTATTCTGCAAAATACACAATACAAAATGAGTGTACCATGAGGCACATAAATACAAATATAAAGTGATCACTGACACTGTTTTTTTCCTAGAACAATTACTCTGTTGAAGCTCACTTTAAATAAATTAATATCTTGATTAAAAGGTTCACTTTAAAATAGGTTTCATGACATTTATAGGTACATTCATTCTGTATTTATAAATAAAAATGTTTCCTTTTCATTTTCATGGCTGTCATAATTTGGTAAAGAATATATGAAAAATTAATGATCTTCTTCTATGAAAATTATGATCCATGGAAATGCCTGTTATGAAATTTTAAAGCCGTGGCATGTGAACCTTTCTCCAGGTAACAAAAGGGCTCTAAAGACAATTATTTTACCGAATTATGACCTCCTTCATGTCACTGGCACTCATTCCTTTCACAGCTCCATAAATTTCAAAATGTTCCTGTAATGTAATCTCTGGCCACAGTGGGTTTATCTGAGGACAGTAGCCCATACACTTTACGGAATCATCATCTCCAGCTGGGTCTGAAGAATAGTCTCTTAGAAATACCTGCAGAAATATAAACCAAGTGTAATGACTATTTTTGCTTAACTTACATCGTAAAGGAAGTGGCAAGTGAGTTAATTCAAACTCCTTCCAAACTCCTGACTTCCTAAAGTCAGGGTCACAGCAGGTCAGATTCTCACCCTTTTCTTTTTTTTTTTTTTTTTTTTGGCGGTACGCGGGCCTCTCACTGTTGTGGCCTCTCCCGTTGCTGAGCACAGGCTCCGGACGCCGCAGGCTCAGCGGCCATGATTCACGGGCCTAGCCGCTCTGCGGCATGTGGGATCTTCCCGGACCGGGGCACGAACCCGTGTCCCCTGCATCGGCAGGCGGACTCCCAACCACTGCGCCACCAGGGAAGCCCTCTCACCCTTTTCTGATGAAGAAACGACACACATGGCTGCGTCAGAGATGAGAGACATGACTAGAAAAGGTGGCCAGGGATGCAGGGTTGGGTGGGAAGGCAAGGCCCGTTTTAACCAGGAGGATCAGGGGGCCCCACGGAAAGGTGATTTCTGAGCCAAGGGAACATGTGAATTTGCTCATCTGGTTTTCTGTGGGGTAAGGAACAGCCAACATAAGGAAAACCTAAGGTAAAAGGAAAAGAGTGAAGTGTGCCCGGCATTTTCCAGCAAAGAATGAGCCAGCGTGGCTGGTGTGATCGAAGGCTAGCTGACGGCAAGGTCAAGGTTAGCTCCTCTATTTCCTGAAGTTAATACAACGGGCTTCTATTAAGTCAGTGGACAAATCACCCATGCTTGTAATCAGCATAAAAGCAGAAATACTGTACATGTGTGTGTTCTGCATGTGTGCACGCAAATTTGACTATGTACGTTATTCTCACAGATAACCAAAAAGATAATTTGATCAAGCTATCCTAAAAAATTAATATTAAAAACATGAAATTTGAGCATAAAAATCCCATTTGTCACTAAGAAATTTATTTTAATTAAAAATATAAATCATATTCAATATATCCCACACCATTATACCATACCTGGCCTGAAGTTGGTTCTATATCACCAACCACAATATTAATAATCGTACTTTTGCCTGCACCATTTGGACCCAATAGTCCCAAGATCTCTCCTAAAGGAATTAAAAGAAAAATTGTCATATGTAAATCAAACTAAAGAATGAAAATTACTCTTCCAGAAAAGTTATTCAAGAAAAAATAATTAAATACCAGCCTTTTTTCACACAGAAGGAGACATATTTATTTGCCACTTTCTTTATTTTTCTTGTAGGAAGAAAATCTTTCTTGTCTTCATATTCTTTATGCAAATTGTTGACCATAATGGCTGGCTTCTAATAAGGGAAACAGGATTTAAAAAAGAGTTATAACTCAGATATCCATCGTTCAATGACAGGCCGTACACAGCTCATGGCCGTATCGTAAGAACTATATTTGCTAATAAGGGGTACTGCATAGATAACTATCCATCTATGACGGGAATAATGGCTTGTTCAAAAGAAAGTGGACAAACATTTTTTCAAAGACAAACTTCTTGGCAATCGATTCATATAAGGGGACAATTTTCGAGGCTAACCCTGTGCAGAGGGGCTGCTCACTGCTCACCGCACGTGGCTCAGCAAGAGAGACCGAGTTACCTCCTCGTGGCGCTGGCAGCTCAGCAATTCTTTGACCTTCACCCTTTCAGCTCTGACATCTTCATCTTCATCCTCATTGTTTGGTGGTTCTGGGAACTTCCTACTTTTGGACTTTGTTTTAAGGGTCCTGAAAGTATAAATAGATTTTCAAATAATTAAAATGGTAAGAAATTGAAGCACTACATAGAGAAAAGACTGAAAAAAATATAGCAACATGAGATCTGTTGTCGGAGATCAGTTATCTCTTAAAGGTAGAAATTACAGAGCTATTTTTCACTCACTGACATCATTTGGATGATGTTATCTAAATTCATTCATTTATTCAACAATTACTTACAACTAGTATGTGTCAAGCACTAGTTCACAGAAAGATAAAAAAGATTTTAAAAAAACCAACACAGACCCTGCTCTCAAAGAATTTACGTCTTGGGTGTACATGAGATGACCCAGGCAGCGTGGACAGAGAGGCTGAAGTCAGCATCCGTAGCAACACCATAAAGGTGGGCAGAGGAAAGAGCGCTTCCAAAGGAAATTCTGAAGTACTATTAAGAGAGGTAAAGAGGCAAATAGAAGTTGACATTATGGGAAAAAAAAAAAGAAAGAAAGAGGAGAAAAGTTTAAGGGAAGAAGTCAGTCACATTTAAGGCTGTAGATCAATTAAAGAGGGTGAGCCTACTTTACCAGACAGAGAGGAGCCGTTAGTTTACCTTACCACAAACAGGAGCAGCCAAGAGATGAGGGCAGGAGCCAGATGGCAGGAGTTAGGGAGTGAATGGGACATGGGAAAGGAGGTGACAAACTGGAGGTGGAAGCTTTCTGGCTATAAAAGGAAAGAGACTGTCTTTTCTCCATTGTATATTCTTGCCTCCTTTATCAAAGATAAGGTGACCATATGTACGTGGGTTTACCTCTGGGCTTTCTATCCTGTTCCATTGATCTATATTTCTGTTTTTGTGCCAGTACCATACTGTCTTGATTACTGTAGCTTTGTAGTATAGTCTGAAGTCTGGGAGACTGATTCCTCCAGCTCTGTTTTTCTTTCTCAAGATTGCTTTGGCTATTCGGGGTCTTTTGTGTGTCCATACAAATTGTGAAATTTTTTGTTCTGGCTCTGTGAAAGATGCCAGTGGTAGTTTGATAGGGATTGCACTGAATCTGTAGATTGCTTTGGGTAGTATAGTCATTTTCACAATGTTGATTCTTCCAATCCAAGAACATGGTATATCTCTCCATCTGTCTGTATCATCTTTAATTTCTTTCATCAGTGTCTTATAATTTTCTGCATATAGGTCTTTTGTCTCCTTAGGTAGGTTTATCCCTAGGTACTTTATTCTTTTTGTTGCAGTGGTAAACGGGAGTGTTTTCTTAATTTCATTTTCAGATTTTTCATCATTAGTGCATAGGAATGCAAGAGATTTCTGTGCATTAATTTTGCATCCTGCTACTTTACCAAATTCATTGATTAGCTCTAGTAGTTTTCTGGTAGCGTCTTTAGGATTCTCTATGTATAGTATCATGTCATCTGCAAAGAGTGACAGCTTAACTTCTTCTTTTCTGATTTGGATTCCTTTTATTTCTTTTTCTTCTCTGATGGCTGTGGCTAAAACTTCCAAAACTATGGTGAATAATAGTGGTGAAAGTGGGCAGCCTTGTCTGGTTCCTGATCTTAGTGGAAACAGTTTCAGTTTTTCACTATTGAGGACAATGTTGGCTGTGGGTTTGTCATATATGGCCTTTATCATGTTGAGGTAAGTTCCCTCTATGCCTACTTTCTGGAGGGTTTTTACCATAAATGGGTGTTGAATTTTGTCAAAAGCTTTCTCTGTATCTATTGAGATGATCATTTGGTTTTTCTCCTTCAATTTGTTAATATGGTGTATCACATTGATTGATATGCATATATTGAAGAATCCTTGCATTCCTGGGATAAACCCCACTTGATCATGGTGTATGATCCTTTTAATGTGCTGTCCGATTCTGTTTGCTAGTATTTTGTTGAGGATTTTGCATCTATGTTCATCAGTGATATTGGCCTGTAGTTTTCTTTTTTTGTGACATCTTTGTCTGGTTTTGGTATCAGGGTGATGGTGGCCTCGTAGAACGAGTTTGGGAGTGTTCTGCCCATATACAATGGAGAAAAGACAGCCTCTTCAATAAGTGGTGCTGGGAAAACCGGACAGCTACATGTAAAAGAATGAAATTAGAACACTCCCTAACATCATACACAAAAATAAACTCAAAATGGATTAAAGACCTAACTGTAAGGCCAGACACTATCAAAGTCTTAGAGGAAAATATAGGCAGAACACTCCATGACATAAATCACAGCAAGATCCTTTTTGACCCACCTCCTAGAGAAAGGGAAATAAAAACAAAAATAAACAAATGGGACCTAATGAAACTTCAAAGCATTTGCACAGCAAAGGAAAGAATAAACAAGACGAAAAGACAACCCTCAGAATGGGAGAAATTATTTGCAAATGAAGCAACTGACAAAGGATTAATCTCCAAAATTTACAAGCAGCTCATGCAGCTCAATATCAAAAAAACAGACAACCCAATCCAAAATTGGGCAGAAGGCCTAAACAGACATTTCTCCAAAAAAGGTATACAGACTGCCAACAAGCACATAAAAGAGTGCTCAATATCATTAATCATCAGAGAAATGTGCAAATCAAAACTACAATGAGGTGTCACCTCACACCAGTCAGAAGGGCCATCATCAAAAAATCTACAAACAACAAATGCTGCAAAGGGTGTGGAGAAAAGGGAACCCTCATACACTGTTGGTGGGAATGTAAATTGATACAGCCACTATGGAGAACAGTATGGAGGTTCCTTAAAAAACTAAAAATAGAATTACCTTATGACCCAGCAATCCCACTACTGGGCATATACCCTGAGAAAACCATAATTCAAAGAGAGTCATGTACCACAATGTTCATTGCAGCTCTATTTACAATAGCCAGGACATGGAAGCAACCTAAGTGTCCATCAACAGATGAATGGATAAAGAAGATGTGGCATGTATATACAATGGAATATTACTCAGCCATAAAAAGAAACGAAATTGAGTTATTTGTAGAGAGGTGGATGGATCTAGAGTCTGTCATACAGAGTGAAGTAAGTCAGAAGAGAAAAACAAATACCGTATGCTAACACATATATATGGAATCTAAAAAAAAAAAAAAATGTCATGAAGAACCTAGGGGCAAGACTGGAATAAAGATGCAGACCTACTAGAGAATGGACTTGAGGACACGGGGAGGGGGAAGGGTAAGCTGGGACGAAGTGAGAGAGTGGCACAGACACATACACGCTACCAAATGTAAAATAGATAGCTAGTGGGAAGCAGTCACATAGCACAGGGAGATCAGCTCAGCGCTTTGTGACCAGTTAGAAGGGTGGGATAGGGAGGGTGGGAGGGAGGGAGATGCAAGAGGGAAGAGATATGGGGATATATGTATATGTATAACTGATTCACTCTGTTATACAGCAGAAACTAACACACCACTGTAAAGCAATTATACTCCAATAAAAACGCAAAAAAAATAAAAAATATACATATGATCAAAAAGAAAAAAGGAAAGAGAGGGGATAAGAGCTAGAGAGGGACTCAGGTTTCAATGTGATTGATGAGTACTTTGTTTTATATGGGAGGAAGGCGACCCCCTCCCAAAGGGAAATATACCCTAATAAGATCCAAAAGGGAAAGACACAGAAAGAGAGAGCTGACTGAGCAACATCCTTAAGCAGACAGAACACAGGAAGACTTGGATAACAAGGGGGACACCTTCCTCTGGGGCTGGGAAAAAGCAAAAGTGACGAAAGGTGTGGACAAGTGTGTACACATTTTATAACTTATAATCAGGTACTTCTGTGTCCTGAGGCAGATGGCACGGCCACCCACCGAGAAGTAAGAAGTGAGGTACGCTGAGGTGACTCTGAGAATCTGAGGGATACAGAGAAGGCCTGCGAGAACTACGGAAAAGAAAAAGATAGGAGGGGACTTCCCTGGTGGCGCAGTGGTTAAGAATCCGCCTGCCAATGCAGGGAACATGGGTTCGAGCCTTGGTCCAGGAAGATCCCACATGCCGCGGAGCAACTAAGCCTGTGTGCCACAATTACTGAGCCTGCACTCTAGAGCCCACGTGCCACAACTACTGCAGCCCGTGTGCCTAGAGCCTATGCTCCGCAACAAAGAGAAGCCACCGCAATAAGAAGCCCGCGCACCACAACAAAGAGTAGCCCCTGCTCGCCACAACTAGGGAAAACCCACACACAGCAACGAAGACCCAACTCAGCCAAAAAATAAATAAGTAAATTAAAAAAAAAAAAAGAAAAAGATAGGAAGCTGCTGAGTAGGTAAAGGCGTAGGGCTGCCAAACAGCGTTAAAACAGAGCTGAGTTTCTATGGGATGAGTATGTAGCATCATCAATGGCTCTGATGCAAACAGAGGGTGAAGTGGAACAGAGACAAAAGTCACTGGCTTGGAGAAAATCAGAAACTGAGGGGTTACGATGTTGGAAGGGTTACCTGTGTGGATGCTGAAATCTCCCCCAAAACGAGAGCAGGAATAAAGGCAAAGACACAGAAGGAGAGCCAGACACTCTGCCTCAATGGATGAGGGGCGGGTCCAGTGGCTAGTGAATAACCACTATACGTTTTCCAATACTTTGCAGTTTTCTCCAGAATGTGAATATTCAGCAAATAAACAAATACGTGAGAAATATAAAAACGAAATTCAGAACCAATTTGGTACCAATGGCCATATTTCAAGAAATAACTCTTCTTCAAATTTAAAACGTCCTTTGAAAAAAAATGCACAGACTTGGAGAAAATATTTTAAAATATATCTGATAAGAGATTGTAACCAGAATATATTAAAAAAACCTCAAAATTCAGTAATATAAAGACAGCCCAATTTTCTTAATGGGCAAAGGATTCAGACTGACATGTCTCCGAAGGAGATATAAAAATGAACAATAAGCACATGAAAAGACACCCCACATCATGAATCATCAGGGAAGTGCAAATAAAAACCACAATGAGACACTAATGTGCACCCACAAGAACAGCTAAAATCAAAACGACAATAACACGTATGGGCAACAACGTGAAGAAAACAGAACGCTCATCCATTCCTAGGAGTAAAATGGTGCAGTCACTGTGGAAAACAGTCTGGCAGTTCTTGAAGAGGTTAAACATAAAGCTACCACAATGACCCATCAATCCCACTCCCAGGTATCCTCCCCAGAGAAATGAAAATATACGTCCACACAAATACTTGGACCCAAATGTGCATCGTAGCATGACTCACAGTAGCCAAAAAGTGGCAACAGCTCAAATGCCAACCAACCGATGAATAGATCAAGTGTGGTATATCCTTACAATGTAATATTTCTCAGCAAAAACAAACAAAAAGGTAATGAGGTACTGCTACATGCTACAACGTGGATGAACTTCCAGAACGTTATGCCCAAGTAAAAGAAGCCAGACAAGAAAAGACCCCACCTTGCATAATTCCATTTAAAGGAATGTGTAAGATACGCAGATCTATGGAGACAGAAGGTAGATCAGTGGTTACACAGGGCTGGGGGCCAGCTGAGCGGGGGAAGGACGTGACCAGCGGACACAAGGTTTCTTTTTGGGGGTGATGGAAATGACCTGCAATCAGATTATGGTGATGGCTGCACAGCTCTGTGAATATAGTAAAAAAAAAAAAAAAATTAAAATAAAAAAAAATTAAACCTGAAATTTAAAAAACTGACCTGAAAAAGGGATCCTTTCTTAATGATCTGCCTCCATATTTTTTCTCGTAGTACTGTAAGAGGAAAATCCACAGCACACACTGCAGGTAAGGCTAAAAGAAAAACAGGTTACAGCTCGTGACTGAATCATTTTGGGTTTTTTTTTTCCCCCCGTGTACCAACAGAACCAAAACCACATACATCAGGCTCCTTTCCATCACAGAAAAACTTCATCACAATTTTTTTTTGCATGTCATACAATGAGTTAAGAATAAATGTTAATGGATGGACATATATACACTACCAAATGTAAAATAGCTAGTGGGAAGCAGCCGCATGGCACAGGGAGATCAGCTCAGTGCTTTGTGACCACCTAGAGGGGTGGGATAGGGAGGGTGGGAGGGAGACGCAAGAGGGAGGAGATATGGGGATATACGTGTACATATAGCTGATTCATTCTGTTATACAGCAGACACTAACTCGACACTGTAAAGCAATTATACTCCAATAAAGATGTTAAAAAAAAAAGAATAAATGTTAATACAAACCAAGGTTGATTTTTAGTAAAATGACCCTTCACATACTTTTCTACCTCTGTAAAGTTCATCTGTTGTCAGCTTCATAAATTATAATTTTAAAAAAGCTTTGTTTTTGCTTCTATGGAAGCCAGAATTATCATTAAATAGAATTAACGACGTGAAAAAAACAAGTACATTAAAGTGGAGGTATTCAGCAAGTGAAATGCATATTAGCTAGCATTAACTAACACACTTGACTTCTTATGCACCTTCATTTTTATGCAATGGAATAAAAACTAAAAAGAGAGTTAAAACCATATGACCAAACCACTCATAAGGTAACATGCTAACACAGTTATTTCTTACCGATATAACAGCCACCAAAAGACGATCCCATGGGTTGTAGGTGTCCTCTTTCTTTTGCATATTCTTCCAAGAAATCTAAGACAAAACGTTTTGAAAATTTGTATGTGGCTGTGATACTGTGATATAATGAAATGTGGTCTTTGACCACAGTTCCTGGCACAGAACTTCTAAAACCCTTGGAATTTCCTGAGTGACAGAGGGGACAGGAGTGTCTCTCATCGTATAAAACAAGCCCCTCTCAACCTCAGCTGAGTCTATGCTAATGAGGGGACTCTCAGAGGAGGATGGAGGCTGACTGACAGAGAACCAGCCAGACTAGAGGGCTGGAACTTCCGGCCCCAGGTGCCACCACCAGGGAGGGGAGAAGAGCGTGGAGACTGATTAGCTCATCCTGCCCAGGTCATGGGACCTCCACAAAGCCTCTAACACGCTGGGAGGACGACTCTCTCCAAACTGCACAGGGACAGGAGCTCTGCCCTTGGGACCATTCTGGGCCCTGCCAGCCAGTTCTAGAGCAAAGTACTGATCCCCGGCAAGGGGTCCAAGTCAGACAGAACGTGGGTGGCCTGGGGACCCACGACCCATGACTGGAATCTGAAGCGGGGGGCTGCCTGCAGGACTGAGCCCTGAACCCGTGGGGTCTGCGCTAACTCTGGTCAGTGTCAGAACTGCTGAATGTCAGGGAAAACCCACACCTTTGGTGTCGGAAGCGCTGTGTGCAGAGGAACCAATTTTCTTTTAGCTGTGACATGTAGAAACGTTCGATTAAAACGAAAAACATGTATTTAACAGCAAACACGTCTTCTCTATAAATTAGCTACCTGTTAATATTTATAGCCATGTTTTGTAGTTAGATTAAAATCTTCCTCACCCCAAAATATGCCTATCAGAGCAGGTATAAATTAAATTATAAACTTAAGCCAGAAAAAGGGAGGGGAGAGAGGTAAGGAGGTGTGTCAGTAGAGTTAATCAGCAATCGTCCTAAATTAATTCATCACTTAATTTTTTTTCTAACCACAGAAATTGTTTTCAATTAACCAGGCTTAATAAAATTAATTTGTTCCTCTATTTTTTTCTTGAAAAAAAATCGCTCAAACTTTATTTTTCCTCATCCCTGTACAGTACAATACACTTGAAAAACTCCCCCAAAACACTCCCCCCAAACTCCCCAGTCCAACACATATGGACTGCAGTCAGATCATACTTCTAATTTATGTACATTGTTTTGGGCATGAAAGACCACGTAATGAACACAGTCCTTCTCCTTTGAGAATCTGCAGTTTAGAAACATGCTTGAAAAGATTCCACAGTAATTTTACATTTACTGCTACATTAATAATATTTAAATCAAGTACTAGCAGTCAACATTTTTTTTTTTTTTTACTACTTCAGTACAAGAGCTAAGATCCCAAAGATTAGGCAGTAATTATTTACCCTTTTTAAAAAATACTAGAACACCTAACAGACCTACCTTTATGAAACAAATCAGGCAACCTAGAAGCGGATAGATTGGGATGGTTATGCACAAGGCATAATGAAGAATAACTGTAACTGTATATCCCATAAAATAAGTTATTTCGGTGACTGCAATGCAAACCAATGCTGTCTAAAGAAAAAAATGAGAAAACAAGTGAAAAGATGTTTAGCAATTTCAAACAAACTTACTGGGTGCCGCAGCATTAACTATGTCTTTAATCTTCTAACAAAACCTGGAACCACAGCAGATACTTTGCCAGAAAGTGTCAGAGCGCTGATACCAGTTTTTTGTAGCTGGCATCCTTGTCATGCTAGTTGTTAAATGCAACAAAATATCATCCCTTCATGGAGTGGATGGGGCTGAAGACGAATATACACACTAACAGACGCTGCTAGCTAGCTAAGTTCTGCACTTAGAAAAGACACAGTAACCCTTTCAGTATAACCATGAAAAGAGTTCATGACTTTCAAATAATGCGCTAGGAAAAGCTGAGACAAAATAATATAAAATGTGACTTACCACAGAATAGATAAATGACCAAAATTCTCTGGTATTTACAATGTTTTTAAAAGTGAAAGAAGTAATATAGGTAAACAGAATAACTGATGGAACATAACCAATAAGGCAAAAAACCTGGAAGACAGAAATGTGTATTTTTATTTAAAAATATGAGTAGCTAACCGTACATATGATGTAAAATACCAGTCACATTAAATCGTTAGGGAATAATTACTCTTCAAGTTTTATTGCTCAGCAAATCGCTCCAAAAAAACGGAAACTGTAGTTCCTTGAGGAGTTTCTCCTAAATCAATAAAGCTCATGTTTTTAACTGCTAACGCAATCTTGAATAAGCCATTTAAACTAAATACTATTTGTAGCTCTTTTTTTATGCCAAGTAAAATACTGTCTCTTACCATGTTATTATGAAAAGCAAGCATAGCTGGTTACTGCTTTATCATCTCCATCAACTATTAGCTTCCTTTTACTGTACAGCATTTAATGCACTTTGTAAATTTTTAAGAAAGACATTTATTAAGTTGTAAGGTGGAGATTAATCTGTAAGGTCAGGATGGCCTCTGGCAAAGCTCCTAAGTTGACTTTCAGCAATCCCAACCTACCAAGCTCTGTTTTCGCTTTTTTCTAATATAATTCATAGGAAAGGATCTAGTGTCAGTCATTGACATACGAATATGGATATGAATACAAATCACACCCTTCCTTAGTATTTTAAGCCATACTTTAAATTATGGAATAAAAGAGCCTCTTCTCTGTGAAATTATTTTTGGGCACAGAGACAAAGAAGACATTTAAAGGAAGGACTGTTTAAGTATTCCTGATTACATACAAGTAAGTATGTAATCTACATACTTCTACAGGAAAGACCACCTCAGTTTCAAGGAATTATTTCATAATGGTAAAGTTATTGTTTTTAAAAATCACTTAGGGCAATATAAACTGCATTGATTATAGGTATCGTACGCAAAAATTAAACAGATGTCGGTTCTGTTCTCTGGAACGTCACCATTACTCAATCAGACAATTATCACATTTATAAAGATCTAGCTTTTTAAAATAACATTTTATTTATAAATAGCATGAATACAACTGATGTTAACTTACCACAGAAAGGAACTTGACAGCATAAAAATATAATCCATGATGAAATGAAAATAAACTGCCTAACATCAAAGTAAGAACCACAGTGAATAAGGGGATGTCAACAAGAGCCTGTCCAATCCAGTATGCAGAAGGCAGAAGACCCGAAAGTTTAAGTTGAGTGTAAGCTTTGATCTAAAAAAAGAAAAAGGCAAAAACTGATTGTAATTCTAAACATCTTGCAAACGAAAAACTCTAGCAAATGATTGTAGAACTTTTAATTTTACATCAACGCAAAAGGTCACATTCTGTCTACAGGTAATAAAAGCCCTCCTACAGCTAAATATAAATTCCATCTAGCCTGTAATCTGGCTCATTATTTCTGAGGTGTAAACATTTCAACAAAATTTTTCAGCATCAGGATACAGCAGTGCTGCTAAGAAACACAAAACTAAAATAAAGTAAAAGGTGTCATGGGGGTTATAGCTGTGCAAACAGTAAGCGGCCAAAACATAACTGCTTTGGAAATTCTGTGGAAATAGAGAGAAAAACAGGTTTCTCACTTTTAAATATTGACCTTTCATGAAAACACTAATAAATGGCCAAGTACCTGCTGATTTACACAGGGCTTTCAGCTTACGTACTGGTGATGCATTTGAAAGCCTTTTACACACTCCTGTGTATAAAAAATGTTAGCTGTTTCTTATCACCACAAGGGAATAGCATTTGCAGGTGTACAAACAGTAAACTTATGATCATTGTTTTCCTAACCCTCTCGTTGTTTAATTTGAAATTTTAAGAATCTTTCATAAATCCAAACACCTAACAATCTTATTCAGTTGATTTTTAAAATTTTATTTATTTATTTATTTATTTTTGGCTGTGTTGGGTCTTCGTTTCTGTGCGAGGGCTTTCTCTAGTTGTGGCAAACGGAGGCCACTCCTCATCGCGGTGCGCAGGTCTCTCACTATCGCGGCCTCTCTTGTTGCGGAGCACAGGCTCCAGGCGCACAGGCTCAGTAGTTGTGGCTCACGGGCCTAGTTGCTCCGCGGCATGTGGGATCTTCCCAGAGCAGGGCTCGAACCTGTGTCCCCTGCATTGGCAGGCGGACTCTCAACCACTGCGCCACCAGGGAAGCCCTTATTCAGTTGATTTTTGTCATCTATGAAACATCTGTTCATAATAATTAAATGTGTTATAAGAAAGAGCTAGCCATAGAGGAGGTAAGAGAAGAGTGGGCTATAAATATTAGTTAAGACAAAGAAGAGAAATGATTTAAAAAACGGACAACTTTCGTGTTCAATGGATTAGAAGAGGGAAAATATAAATTTCAATATAAGTATAAAAACATAGACCACGTCAAACGCGATGATTTTGGATAATCCATGCTTTTGTCATTCACACATTGCTGGTAGGAATGCAAAATGGTTCATCCACCCTGAAAAGCAGCTCAACAATTTCTTATAAAACTAAACATGCAATCACCGTATGACACAGCAAGTATACTCTCGGGCACTTATCCCGGAGAAATGAAAACTTACATTCACACAAAAGCTAGAGCAAATGTCCATAGGATCTTAATTCATAATAGCTAAAACTGGAAACAATCCAGATCCACACCATGGAATACGACCCAGCAATAAAACTTTTAAAGCACATGACGGGTCCTCAAATAATAAGTGAGAGTTACTACTATTACCGTAATAAATGTATTTATACTCCATTTACTTCTTGAAATAATAATTGCACAGAAGTCTTGCACTCACACAAGGTAGGCTAACTTTTTGTCTAAGATTTCTTATTAGTCAACTGCACCTGTAATTTTTTAACTGAGTCATTACCTTATGATTCTCTGCATTCTCCATGGCAAAGTAAGGTGGCATCGCGGTAACAATGACCCCAAGTAAAGCTGCTTGAAAATACAGCTCGATTTTAAAAACTATGTCTGTAATTCCCTGAAAGACAACCACAGAATAAGAAATAGAACTGGGAATCACTTTATATCATGTTACTACTTTCTAAAAGACTATCAAAACCTCCGAAGAAACATGTTAGGATACCTACCCTAGACAGCAGTCGACATGAAGCAACAGGTGGCAGAGTCAGCGGGCTATAGTACCAGTTTGACACATTAAGTAGCTATAGGATCCTGAGCAAATTACTGTCCTTCCCTTTTCTTACAGAAGTACACAGAATAATACAGCATATTAATTAAGGTTCACCATTTAGTTAAAAATTATACTGTCCGTGAAGCACAGTTAACCTGTCTCCCAGCGGTTCTACGCAGGCAATGAACGTGGCTCTCTCACAATGACCTTGATGCCTTCACCGGTACCTGGACTGGACTACAAGCCAGCTGGGATCTAGGAACCCCCCTTTTCTCCACTGGGAAAAGTCATACCCGAGCTCAGCTTCGTATGGAGCCAGGAGCTTCTTATTCCCAGCAGGGGGGACCGTAACTCCGATAGGCCTGTGGATCCAGGTGCGGACAGCAAACGTTCCCAGACAACCTAGTAAACAGCTGGTGCCCCAAATGCAAACTACCCAGAACCACTCTCAATGCCACGGGATGATGTGGAAAGAGGCTGCATTCTGTCGGCCCCGGCCTCCCGAGTTTCTAGCAATAAAGCCAGTTCCTTAATTCATGCCATATGACGTTGACGAATTTGCCCCAAACTCTGGTACCTTACAGTGGAAGACCCAGACAGAACCAACAAATGTGTAAGCTGAGTAGCACAAGAAGTGGAGACTAATGAGATGACAGTTGGACTCAATTACACAGAATCTCATCATTGAAGGGGAAAAAATGTGGAACGTGAACAAGATTATATCTGTGAATAGGGAACTTTAAAAAGTCTCACTCTTTCCCTCTGGTTTTAAACAACGGTATGGTTGTATGTCAGTGTTTGATGGAAAATGTTAAGAAGCAAGATCTTTTGTAATAGTTGCAGACACACACAAATGTGGTAACATCATAAAGATGTGCACGGGAATTAAACATTTTGAACTGTGGAGGAAAGAAGACTGGGGAGGGACGCACTGGAGGTTTCACCTGTGTCTTTAACGTTTTAATAAATAAGAAGAAACAAGATACTAACATTTGAAATATGTGGGTACTATATACACAGTTGTTTACTTTCTGTAGGATTGAAACACAACAACAGCAACAAAAATCACAAGGGATGATCTACAACTTCGATGATGATTTCTATATCACCTATGCAATGCTGACACAATATTTATTTATCACAATAAATATTTATCACAAATATTTATTTCCTGCCCAGAAATCTCTCCAGATTCATACCTTCAAATGCCACCAGGATAACCAATCCCTCCACAGGCTCAAAGCTGAAATCAGTATCTCCATTCCACCAAAATGAAGCCACAATCTCTCTTCTGCCTATATTCTCAAAATTGGTGACTGATACTACTACTATGTACCCCCCAAATGTGAGAAATACGATGCCTCACAAGAGCAAGAGTGATAGAGTATGTCACGTCTTTTAACATAGAGTTGCAAAACTCTATGAACATAATAAAAACCACTGAATTGTACATTCATATGGGTGAATCAGATGGTGTTTGAAGTACATCTCAGTAAAGCTTTTGAAAAACAGTATGGCAACAGAAAGCAGAAAATGCTATTACCGAAAGATATTTGTCCATTTATTTTTCAACATATGAAAAACAATACTAGTATTCAGAGAAAAAGGTTGACTGTTTTCCTGGAGACTTAAGTGGCTTTTCGTATCTATAATCCAACTGTCTGTCCTAGAGGAAAAATGACTGGGTGACTTCTCAAGGTTCAATACCCAGCATCTAGATTTCCGATGAACAATATTCATTTTTAATTATCTAAATTTTTCTTCTCTAATATAAAAACTACTCATGCTTTACAAAAATATCAGTACCAAGACAGAACCTCCTTGACCATGAAGCGAACTCATACTACAGACTCCTAAACCCAGGATGTGAACCATCCCCAGCTCAAGTTTTAAGACTAGGAGATGTCACAAGATGAACTTCTACAGATTTCATCGGTTATTATCACTTGGCTCTTAACAGTTATTTTATGCACACACGCACACACGCATACCTATTTTTAAGTTTGCTTACTTGAACGAATGGGGTATTCCAGATCTGGATGCTTTCAGTCACATTTGAATGATAAAGATAGTAGTTGCTAATGATATTCATCAATACAGGTAAAGAATAAACCATAGTACCGTTGAAAACAGCAGTAAAAACATAGTCCTACAATTCAAAAAAATAGAGTTATTATACAGTATACAGAAATATAAATGACTATATGATGGCTATGTACCAAGCTTTTCTCACCAGCTAAGTTAACTCTCACTAACTGTACTGAAAACCGGTTCAACAAATCATAGAAATAATACTCAATGATAGATAAAAATAACCTGGTTTGGAATCTAGATATTTTGATATTTTAAACAAAAAAATGACATAAAAATAATTAAATTCTTCAGAGCTTTATTTACTGGTCCTCCATCGGGGCATAAAATATATCCTAAGTAAACACAGCCAGCTATTTCCAAAAGTAAATTTTAATTTCCAACTAATAAGGTCAAATCAGCAAACAATTGATTTTAGAGGAAATGTCTTAATCCCACACACTACTCTTACCTTTTCTGACTGCATCACATTTAAAGCTGCGCTGTGCGGAGCGGCAGACACGTAGTCACTGTCATTAAACATTGTCACCATTATGTTCTGGGTGGTGAAAAACCTAAGAAGGTCACTGATATCTGAGTCTGGTATTAGAAGATAAGCAAATAACAAAGAATCAGTTTAAATGAGAAACAGACACAGGCTTTTAGTAACATTTAGAGCTCTCTTTTTTTTTTTTTTTTTTTTTGCGGTACGCGGGCCTCTCACTGTTGCGGCCTCTCCCGTTGCGGAGCACAGGCTCCGGACGCGCAGGCTCAGCGGCCATGGCTCACGGGCCCAGCCGTTCCGCGGCACATGGGATCTTCCCGGACCGGGGCACGAACCCTTGTCCCCTGCATCGGCAGGCGGGCTCTCAACCACTGCGCCACCAGGGAAGCCCAGAGCTCTCTTTTTGAAGAAGTATTTTCTCTCCATTAGCTAAGACATGATTAAGAACGTTGGCTCTGGGACCAGTCAGCATGAATTTAAATCCAGGTCCAGACACGCAGACCTCAGAACAGAGCCTGACACACAGCTACTGGCGCCAATTTCAGCTGCTGCCGCTGCTACTGATGTTACTCGCATTCAGAGTGTACCTATCATATGTGAGATCTGGTCAAACAGTAAGAGTACAAATCTATCTGGCAATTTTATGCAACAAGGTAACGTGCCACGCTCAGAGAGGTGGGAGCCAGGGTGTGGAGTTAGGTGGCATCACTCCCTGGAGGATTGCTGCACGATTTGAACAGACAAACAGTATAAATGTCAACTGCGTTACTACTTTAAAATAGTAAAACCCATAACCAGGTCTCCATCTATATCCTCTAAACAGCCTGGAGCTAAGGGGGAGAGTCTGAATCCTGTCCGAGGTCTAAATCTATACCAACATGCCTGATGAGTGGAAACAGTTCTCTGTCCATCACAAAAGCCAGGATTCAAGGACGGACAAGTGTGGCTTTGAGAGAAATCAAAACCAAAGGAAAACACTAGCAGTAACTGAGCAGCACGGCCGGTGGCTCAGACTCAGCAACAAACCTGAGTGTCAGAGAGAAGGGTGCTTCTAGTGATAGGACATCTACTCCCAACCTAGTGCCTTAACTGATCTCTCATTTCCAGATGCCAGAGAGGCTCTGTCCTCTCGAGAAGAGGGCTCTATTATAACTGAAGGAACTATATCACCTGTGATAACAGAAAGCTTTGCCAGGAGGATAAGAGACCACCCAGTACATACACACAGAGACCACTGAACACTAAAGGAAATGTGCCTTTAGGACCAACAACAAGGTCTAGGAAAATGTGAGATAGACAGATAGAAAGACAGACGGATGTAAGCAACTCTAGAAATACTTAAAATTAACAGATGGGACAAAACTTTGAAAATACTATAATTTCTGCAGATCAGTGAGAGTGAACACCAAGCAGAAATACTTGAGATAATGTACAATTCCCCAAACACACAAAAAAAGTCACAATATCAGAGTGTAAGGCTCCATGCAGTACTATCTTTCAGCAATGTGAAATGTACATTAAAACCAAAATAAGAATTCTAATGGGAGCAATAAATTGAGAAACATAACGTTTTCTATTCAAGAGTATTTTCTATCACTAAATACCTTCTTCCTCCGAAAGCATAAAAACAGAGAGCTAGACTTGAAGAGTGACGATTGTAACGGCCATCTGTAACGGTCCCTAACTATCTCTATTATTTTAACACCGGGCAAAGCTTTTCAGTTAATAGTGAATCAAATAGGAAAGATACTAGAATACAGGTGAAGTGTTGGGAAATGTTGAACTCCAAAGAATTTGTGCGTGTAGAAAGGGTGTACGAAATGCAACTTTCCAACACAGTTCAGCAAGATAAACAAAGGAAGCTGCGTCTGCTTTACTGTAAACTACAGAGCTAGCTCACTTTCCTCTTCAAGAACCTCGGGACTATAAACTATCCACACAGATGGGAGATGGTGTAGAAACATCTAATTCACGTCAAATTCTGAATTAGGTTTTAATATTTTGAAAATCGAAGTCCCATACCAGGTTTTTAAAAATTTATTCTGAGGTTTGCGCAAAGCCGTATGTTTTAAAATTTCTTTCATATTTGATTTAATTATGTAATAAAAAGAATCAATAGCAAGTCCAAAAATATCCATTACAGATTTAATGTATTTGATCACAGAGATTTCTAAGACAACTGTCCTTAGTTCTAGTTTTTCAGATAGTCCTTAAAAATTGTTTAAACACTTCTATTTAGATATGTAACTGCATAAATATTACATGCCGTAACTCTTTCTAAAGAGGGTTTTTCAACTTCTGAAGTTTATTTTGCGCATCATAAACTTTGAGATGAAACGTGCTGCTCTGAGAATAATGTCGCTACTCTTAAAAATGGAAATTTTATGATTATATACAGTATAAATCAGAATATTTTAAAAACTGTCATCTACACTTAAACCAAAATTTCATTTCTGTAATGTATTACTCAGCATCAGTGAGGAGTTTTACTTAATTTAGGTTCATGCACACAGACCACGCCTTTAACATATATGTATTTCTAAAATCCAAATCTCTGGCCTATATCTACCTCTCACCCCAGGCCCCACCAACACACATTCACAAACCTGCACATACTCTCACCGGTAGAATTTTGAAGAAGCAGACTTGTTCTGTATTTATGAGGTTTATCTCCAGGTTTTAGGAAGTATAAGTCTGGAACAAGTTTGATAGGAACAACAGCATTTTTAAAAGAGTGATGCACCAAAAACATAAAAATCTGAACTGCGAAAAAAATTAAAAGCAGAAGCAACCTGAAAGGAAAAAAAATACACAGTTCAAGGCACATTAACATATAAATCTACAAAACAGTCTTCCTTCACATGACAGTTAAAAGGTACTCATTTAAAAAAGAAAAAAAAAAAAGACAAGAAAAGGAAAAAAAAAAAACTTGAAAAATTCCCACTTGGGAGTAGAAATTCGACTCTCCAAAATGGTCTCATGACAATATTGGAAAGAAAGCCAATATTCAATAATAAAATTAAAAGTTATAAAAGTATATTTTAGATCAGAGCCACCCTGAAATTTTTATAGGGCATGTAAACCTGTAGTTATAACTTAAAAAAAAATACACATTATGTCACATTTATATCTCTATTCTCCTGAAGGAACTATTTCCTGCCCTACCTCTATCCTATGTACTCTCCAAATATTTTAGAAAATGTATGATACAAAAATATTTTAGATACAGTGAAGAAAATAAAAATACAGTGAAAACTTCAGATGACTGGTATCTTTGAAATGTCATCCTAACCACATCAATTTCCATTTCTCCTCTACAGTGAGTTATAAGGACCATAATGTGCAGCTGGCCCAGCACATAATTCTACTATAACCACTCAAAATGCCCTTCCATCTGAGAGACAGGTAACTTTTTTTTTTTTTTTTTGCGGTACGCGGGCCTCTCACTGTTGTGGCCTCTCCCGTTGCGGAGCACAGGCTCCGGACGTGCAGGCTCAGCGGCCATGGCTCACGGGCCCAGCCGCTCCGCGGCACGTGGGATCTTCCCGGACCGGGGCATGAACCCGCGTCCCCTGCATCGGCAGGCGGACTCTCAACCACTGCGCCACCAGGGGAGACCCGAGACAGGTAACTTTTCATCTCAGCCTGCAAAAAATCTCTACAGTGTGTGTGACAGGTGTCACAACAGTGGGTAGAGAGAGCTTAGGTTATCACACATCAGCATTTTATAATTTTCAGAAACCCTATAATTTTAAGTCATTCTTAAATTGTTTTAAGTAGACCTATATCAGCACTGCCAGAAGCACACTGCGTTGAACTCTAGTTCCATAATAAGTTAGTGGGTGTTTTAGGTTAAAAACAAAATTCATGATTAAAAAATATTTGGAAACTCCAAGTTAAACAAAGTTGAAATAATTTCTTTAGCATAGAACGGCTCATGTGTTTTTATATGCGAATGGACAAATCTTTAAGAGAGGAAATGTAAGTTGTAATATTTTCTACATGCATGGTCAATACAGATTTGACCATGGAACACTTCTTGTAGCAGGCTGAATGTCTGTCACCCTCCTCCCAAATTTATACACAGAAGCCCTACGCCCCAAAGCGATGGCATCTGAAGATGAGTCCTCCAGGAGGTCATCAGGATCAGATGGGGTCACGAGGGCACGGCCTCATGACGGGATTGGTGCCCTGAGAAGAAGAGGCACCAGAGAGCTTGCTCTCTGGTGGCTCTTTCTCTGTGTGCACACACAGCGAGGGGGCGGGGTGGTGGTGGTGGTGGTGCCCAGCTGCAAGCCAGGAAAAGTCCTCAACAGGACCCGACCATGTGGACCCTGACCTCACTCCCAGTCTCGGGAACTGTGGGAAAATAAACTTCTGCTGTTCAAGTCAGAAGATAAACTTCTGCTGTTGTTATGGCAGCCGGAGCCGAGATTCTTTTATTGTTTTTCAGGGAGTATTTTATGAGAGTAGTATTCAATTAAATAAACGGACACATGCTGATTTAAACAAAGGTTTTTCTCTCACTAATGCTGACACAGGAATAAATCAGATACGTGATTGACATTTCTTTGATATTGAATAAGTCTGGGCAAAAAGCAAATGAATTCAGCATATTTCAAACATATAACAAAACTCTTATTCTTTATATATATATATATATATATATATATATATATATATATATATATTTTTTTTTTTTGGTACGCGGGCCTCTCACTGTTGTGGCCTCTCCCAGGCCCAGCCGCTCCGCGGCATGTGGGATCTTCCCGGACCGGGGCACGAACCCGTGTCCCCTGCATCGGCAGGCGGACTCTCAACCACTGCGCCACCAGGGAAGCCCCTCTTATTCTTGATTATTAAGTTTTATTTCTACCGCCATTCTGGATCTAACAAGACAGCGTGGTGTGTAAAAGTACTTAACGTTACTTCTAAATAATTCAGCGTCTAGCACCCCATGGGAACCTAACTGACAGAGACACGGCTAAGTGGAAAAGACGTCATTTTGATCCCAGTTCTACCCGCTATAAGCCCTTCTTTATATTTCCGTTTCTTCACCTGATAAATAAGGATAAAACTTATTCTTCCTGCTGTTTACCAAAAAATGGTCATAAATATTAGTAATAGAGGCAAAACAATTGTGAAAAATGTAAATGCAAAATAAAATTTAAATGCAATGACAGTAATTCAAAAATTACACAATTAGAGAAAATTATTTGTCACTCCCTCATTTTATAGATGAGATCAAAAAAATGCTAGTTTTAAAAAAGAGTTAAGGCTCTAATGATATCCAATGAAATCACCAGAGGTATAATTTTTTTCTCTGACATTGTGAAATTACCATTTTAATCTCTCAAAACTACACAGATTATTTACATATGTCTACATTTTAAAGACTAAGATGGTAAATCTAGTTTGTATCCTTAAGAAAACAACTCATCAGACGGAAGAGCGGTTATACTTACACTGATCTCACTGATTTGCTCTCACGTTTCAAGGTAAGGAAGTGAAACTTTGCAATTTTAAACACCTGCTGTTTCCAAACACTCATGGTGCTCACCAGAGAAGCCTTGGTTTCAGAAAGAATAAGCAAGCTCTGCTCCATTTCATCAAAGGGTTTTGAATGCACTTCTTCCTCTGGTGGCCGCTGAGTAAACACACTATAATCTATTTGCCAAAACAAAACGATAGAAACTTGTGTTATCTTCCTTAAAAAGATGAAAACCTTTCTGAAGCATGTAAATTTCAAAGCTGCACACACCTGGCAGTGATACAGGACAAAGGGGACAGTCATATACTTTGGCAATGTTATCAAAACTGAACATGTGCACAGCTTATGACCCAGGACATTCTCTCTCAGGTATAAATCCAACAGAATTATGTACAGAGGCTCTCACTGAAACACACGTACAAGAATATCCTTAGCTAGCACCCTATGCAATAGCCGCGTGCTGGAAAGAGCCCAAATCTCTGTCAACAGGTGAAAGGATAAGTCATGAGATATTCCTGTAATAGAACAGTGTAAAGCAATGAGCGTGAACAAACTATTGTATGACCACAGTAGCTTGATCTGACAAACATTACATTAAGTCAAAGAAACCAGAATAAATATAAGCAAAAGAGACATGCTATATGATTGATTCCATTAGACCAAAACCTGACAAAACTACTGGATGGGGATAGAAATCAAGATACGTTATTTTCACAACAGTGATTTGACTTAAAAGAGATGAAAAATAATAAAAAGAGACGAAAACTGGTTTCGGTATGAAGAAGGACTTAGGCTAAGTTTAAGAAATGAGTAAACATTAAAAATTTTAAGAGTGGAGCAGAATAATGTATAAAATAATATTTAGGTACAACCTGGCTGTCTTGGCATCTTACCAACTCAACAGTCTGAACGGATGACCCAGTAGATGGACAAGTCCAGTCCCTGTCTTCCCCTGACACAGCGACTAATCAAACTAAAAGCAGGTCCTGAAATACTGCGTATCACAATCATAGTACTCAGTGAGCTCCAACTGGCCTTCTACAGAATTTGATATATACTAATCTTTAAAAAATAAAACAATTAAAATCGACCAAACTGAAAGCAAGCTGATGTTAGAGGTAAATTTATTTTGCATAATGGGCTTAAAGGTACTATAGAGAAAAGTGAATAATACCTGAACAGAGCTCACCCTTCTCATTTTCATTCCCACTTCCCAGATGTTTCTAGAAACTACTTCGTATGCCTCAAAGTACTGAGCAACACACACACAAGCACCTTCTCCATCTAGCTCTCTCCGCCATCCTCAGTATTACAGACATATGCACTGGTAACGCATTCTACATCCTGACCTCTAGCTCCCTTCATTCCTTCCATTCCCATACCTTTATCTCTACTCAGTTTCATCAAACTGATGGATGCCCACATTTAAGATCTTGCTATCGCTCCAACTGATCCAACATTTTCACGTGAACTTTCCTTCTCTAGCTGCAATCCGCCCCTACGTCCTCATCGTAAGCTCACCTTTCTTCCTCCACGTTTGAGAGAAACATCCTTTTTCCTTCACTCTCAGGACCCAGCACCACACCAGTCTCGCTACCCTTCAACCCATTCTCAGCTTAAACCTCACGGATCTCGACCGCACCACTGAAATCACTCGTGTCAAGGTCACGACCGGCTCCCACCCTTACACATTCCCCGTCTTCTAAGCTACCAAACCCCCCTTTTGTGCTGCCATCTTCCTCTTCACAGCAGTCGGCAGAGAACTAACTGCCCACTCGCTCTTGCCTCAAACACCATGCTGCCCCAGCGCCTGCATCTTCTTTCGTGAAGATAGAAAGGGCGCTACTGGTGCCTTCCTGGTCAGCCCTCCCTGGCCCTTCACTGCTCACCCTCGGAGCTTCCCTCCACTGCGTCCGCGCTCGCCACCGAAGCACCTCATCCAGTCCCACAGGGCCACCGGTACACAGGCGGATCCAGCGTTTGTATCTTGAGCCCCACGCCCTCCTTTAGCTCCAAGTGTGTGAATCAAACAGCCCACAGGCATCATCTCCACTGGGATGTCTACTAAACCTCTCAACAGTATAACCAAAATTCACACCTGGAGTCCTTCTTTCCACAAACCTGCTGCTCCCCCTTTCTCAGGAAAGGGCAATTCCACTTCCAGTTCTCAAGCCAAAAGCTTAGACACTGTTCTTGACCTCCCGTTCCTCAACCCCTAGCGCTAAGCCAGCACCTGCAAGTCACCAGCGGCGCCTCTGGGAGAAGCCCGCGCTGTGCATGTTTCCCTATTGTCACAACCATCCTAGTTCAAACTAAGACGAACTGCCATAGCTTCCTAGCTGCTCTTCTGCTTCCACACTTCCCTTACATCCACTCATCATTCAACAACTGGAACGCTGTTTTTAAAAATGCAAATCAGATCACGCTACCCCTTTGCTTTCAAACTCTCTGGTAGCTTCATATCACACTAAGAAAACAAACAAAATGTTTTTCCAGACTAAACATGTTCAAAGACTAAATATGATGTGGCCCCTGGCCTCCAGCTCTGAGCCCACTACGTGCTACCCTCTCCTTGGCTCTCCACAGCGGCCTTTCTTCGTCATCAGAAACATCCAACCCATCCCTCAACCAACACCTGTGCAGTAGCGAGTCCCTTTACCTGGAAGGCTCTGCGATGAAATCTCACTTTTCTTGCCGTTCAGGCCTCACTTTAAATATCATCCCAACCCAGTCCCCCCGAGATGCCATCTAAGCTCTCTGCCTCCCGAGACCGCCCCACTAATCCCTTCATACCTCCTATCACTCTCTGTAAATATCTATTTGCCTGTTTATTTCTACCCTTTCTTCCCCAAAATACAAATTCCACATGCTTCTACAATTATTTGTCTTGATCACTGCCTGTCTGGCTCATTGCCTAAAATGTGCCGTTAGCTTTGTTTTTACCTGCTTGGTCAATTTCCGCTTCAACTTCTAGCTTTAAGAATACATCTTCCAAAGTCGTCATGGAAACACCATAAGAAATAACACCCAAATCTGAATGAGTGTCCAGAGCAGCAAATAAACCTAAAGGAGAAACATGGAAGAGCGTTGTGTCATTAGGCACACTACCATGAATTCTTCTAAAATGTCGTTTTAAAATAGCAGACGGCTGAATTTACTGGGCTGGTACAGTGTGCTCAAACTGTTTGGTCTCAGGACCCCGTCAACATTCTTAGAAATTGCTAAGGACCCCAAGGAATGTTTGTTTAGGGAGATATACATCTATTAGACATGCATCATAATATAAATTAAAACTAAGAAATATTTTATAGATAGAATGATGGGCAGAGTACATTATGTTGACACATGTACTTCAATTCAGTTAATTAATGATTCCTTATTCTCAAAAGGAAACCATAGAAAACCGCATAGAAAATTTCTAATTATAGGAATGCTATGGGAATTCTGCATAACGTATCTTCAACAGTAAGAAATATCCTTTTGTTTATTAAGTCATCTGTCAACAGATAAAGGACACTGAGTTTGAGTTCCTCATCAAAAAGCAGAAAACTAAATGTCACAAATAAAATAATTCAAGGGTTTACCGTGTAATAATGTAATTCGTTATGAAATCATGAAACTGGAAAAGAGCTTAGGACTTATACAAACAACTGTGTGTGTGTATACACATTTGTGTGTGTACGTATGTATATATTTGTGTATATGTATATTTATATTCTTATTCCCAGAACAAAAAAAGGGAACAATTTCTTTCTTTCTTGACAATTATTTGTCAAGAAACAATTATTTACGTAAGTTAACACACTAGTTGGAGTTTCTTGCATGCCGTTTATAAAAAAAAGAAATGTTAGCTTACAGCATTTCTGATTTTCAAAAGCAAAATAAAGCAGAAACGGAATATTAACTCTGGCGACCTGCGAGCGCGTAAATATTATATAGAAAAATAAACCAAGTAAATTAAGAAAACTCATCCCCAATGCAAGAACCTGGTTCAGCAGTCAAGAAACTGAAAGTAAGGAATACCCGAAAATTTGTCCATGTCCTTGAAAGGCAAGCTATACACAAGCTGCTGGTCACTCTGTTGTAATAAAGTAGCTGCAGGTATATGTTGTTTAACCAGAGAAGAAAGAGATTCCGTGGCACAGCATCTGTCAATATACATGCTAGAGAAAACCAAAAACCATAATTTTTTATGATTACTCAGTCAACAGCCAAAAGTAAATTCTGAATGCTTTAAGCTAAAGTTAGTGCCACACAAAAATGGCTGAAGCACATCATGGCAAAGCTTAAACACAGTAACAATAGCTCAAGAATATAATAAGGAACAAGGCAATAAAGAATGAATGATACCTCAGGCGGTAGCCAATCCCCCATTTACTTTTCAGAAAAATTGAAGAACCAACACATTTTAACATTCCTTGTGATATGACAGCTTTCCTATCTGCAAAAAGAGATTTGCGTTTCAATTTCAGAGTTAGTAACAGCATTAATAATTGGCATTTATATTTTCTGGATTAACCTATGAGACACCAGTGTATGAGCTCATTAAACTATCACAACAGCCTTGTGAGGAAGGTATAGATTATCATCACCTGCTTTTTCGATGAGAACAGGAAGGCAATAAGAACATGCACAGTTTGCCCACGCTTCACGTGGCTATTAAGTGACAAAGCCAGGGCTTCCACCCAGGCAGTGTAAGTCTACAGTCTACTTTCCTAACTAACATGCTCCAAATGTCTCGGACTCTTCCTATAACGTTACTAACAAGTGCTTTCACAACTTCCTTGACAGCCAAATGTAAAAACGACGAGAAAGCAACAGAAACAAAACGTTAGGTTTTTTTTAAACAAAGATAGCACTGAGAAAATGAATGACATGCCCAATTTATTAGATTGTATCATGAACAGAAAGAGGTTGCTTGGGAACCTCAGAGCCTTGGACCTTGTCGCAGCTACTAAAGTCACGTGCTGGTTTCAACCTGGATTCTTCGGTGTGTGAATGTGTTTAGCACTGGCCTGAGGCCCTTAAGCTTAGGAAGGCCTCTTACGAGGCTGGCTCCTGACCCGTGTCTGGAGACCCGGCTTTGAGCAGGTAAGGCTGGCCCCCGGCACCTGCGCTGCACAGGCAACGCAGGTCATGGCTGACACCTGCTTCCTGCTGGGCGGCCGGCAGGTGGCCCGTGTGAGGCAGAGGGTGCCACATGGCCAGCCCCAAGAGCAAAAAACCACCACCCTGGGCGAGAGAACAACCCGCTGCTGCACAGACGGAGCGCACCCTGGCTGACCCCGTGCGGACGGGACTCTCGGAAGCTTGCCTGTTTCTCCCGGACTTTGTCCCATGTGCCTTTGCCCTTTGCTGACTCTGCCCTGTACCCCTTCCATTTCAGTGTAATAACTGACACCCAGGGGTGTGGCTGTGCTGAGTCCTGTGAGCTTTCGTGGCAGATTATTGGACCTCGGGTGGTCAGGGGGACCCCCCAACACAACACAAAAACATGTAAGTTTAAAAAACTGTAATACCTTTTTTTGTGAAGAACGCACAGCTTCTTTATTTATTCCTCAGAATTTAGCATTTCTATGTCTAATCTCCCATTCGGCCCCATGACCTTAACCTTTAAAAATAAAGTAAAAATCTCACCAGCAAGAATGTCAGCTTCATCCATGAAATGAGTACTAAACACTGTCACCCGATTAGCTTTTCTGTATTTAAGAAGATTCCAAACAATATGACGCGAACAAGGGTCCATCCCAGCTGTCGGTTCATCCAGCAACAGTACCTGTGTGCAAACGGGTGGGCAAGGCAGGGAATCCTCAGGAAAACTAAAATATATAAAATTCATGCAGACCCTGCAAACCTTCCCCACTTAAAGTTACTCTATCCAATCAGAAATGTATTAGGTCTGAGTTTTCCACTCATATGTGAGTTAGCATAAATTTAAAAAACTATCGGTTTGGCATATGAATACCTTCTTTGGTTTAATTTTAAAATACAAATGTCTGTAATGTATAAGACATAAGTATAATAACAATCAGATAGACAAACTAAAAAACAAAACACCGACTATTTCGCTTTTACCTGAACAATTAAATTTTGTAGATGTAACAACTGCTCGTTAGAGAGTTATGCTCTGTATTAGTTCAGGGAAAGAAATTTATTTTAAGACTATTTTTAATTTTGAAAATGTGGTGGTGGGGATTGGGAGGAAGATAAATTGACTCAAAGCCTGAACCACAGTCCTCCCTAAGCTACAGCAGCAGGGCGTGTGGCAGGATGGTGGGCACCCAGGGGGCTCCTGGCCACAGGTGTGCACCTGGCAGCTTTCTAACACTGCGCAAAGCAGTGACCAGCTGGTTCTCTGTTTCTGCCAGACAGAGGAGAGCACAAAACAGACCAAATAATCAAATCAACAGAACAGTGAAAAACGGAACTGTTCGTTTGATTTTGTTCTTATTTTTAAATTTTTATTATAACCATTACAAATGTATAGAAAACTGAAGAGAATAATAAACATAACAATACTTTTATAGCCACCACTGAACTTTAACGAATGTTATTTTACTTCAGATCCTCTCTCAGAGAAATAAATCTCTGCAGGTATAAAGAAAGTCAGTCCTATCCGTTCCCCTTCCGAGAGATGGCCACTAAATTAAAGATGCTGTATATCTTTCTGACTTCAGTTTTAAAACCTTATTACTATAATTACATCCATAATAACGTATAGTATTTTATGTATGTTTAACATTTATACAATGTGTGTATGTGTATCTTTCTACAACCACTTTTTAATTCAACATAATTTAAAATTATCTCATCAATGACACTATATCCGCTTACCTTTGGATCCCCAAGAACAGCGATTCCTACAGACAGCTTTCTTTTCTGGCCACCACTTAACTTTCTGGCCTGATTATCTTTGATAGCCTGCATGTCTAAATCCAGTAAAACCTTCTGCACCTATGAAAGTAAAGTGTCAATAAACGTTTTTTAAATCAAATCATTTACATAATTATCAATATTAGTTTTTAAGTGTTCTAATTTTAATGTCAACTTTTAAAATGTTCTTTTAGTCCAGAACTTAATTTTGACATATATCCATGTATAATTTTGAAATAACAGCTAAAAGGATTCCTGATGGGAAGGTCTGCTGTACTTCTGTGACCCCTGGGTGGTGGGAGGGGATCAGTGCAAAGGCTCCGTGTGTGTCCGTGTGGCAGGGGAAGGGGGTGGAGGCGAAAAGAAAAGAAAAGAAAAGAAACACCTATATTGAGAGATTAGAATCCTCCAGATGAAACAAGGACTATTTCCTATGTGCTAAAACTTTTGCTCCAAGTTCTAATTCTTTATAATGACTTTCTGTTTACTGGCTCAGAACAAGTTTTATATTTAGATTTTCAAGCATAAGGTTACTAATTTACAGCAAATAAAAGTAAAGATTTCTATATAAATAACATACTTCTTGTATTATATTATTGGCTGGTACTCCTTTGATTGAAGCCAAAATGGATAAGTTTTCTTCTACTGTCAAAACATCAAAGTGTATATCTAACTGTGGACAAATGCCAATCATTTTTCTTGCTTCAAACATTTCATCTATTTCTGAGACTCTGTGTCCATATACAGATGCAAACCCTAAAAGCAAAATATATGTATTTACATTAAATATATTAAGAATCAAAAAGTATATATGTTTTAGTATATACTAATAATTTAGTTATTTGTATGTAATAGACATAAAATAAGAGTCAATATAAATTTGGAGGACACAACGCACCCTCATTTCCATACTGGTGGAAATCACCATCATACTGGTGATTTGCTGCCACGTATATTCCAATCTCATTTTCCTTCAATTTCAGGGCATATTACAGAGTGGAAAGAGCAAAGAACCATAAGTTTAATACTAAACAAAATTATCTATTGGTGCATTAACTAATATTCCAGGAACAATTTTCCCTCATTTCCAGGCATTATGCAACAGTAAAGAGAACAAAGAACTTAAAATTTACTCCTAACCAGCTGCGTGGCCTTGAGAAAATCACTTAATCTAAATCCAAGCTTTTTTCTTCTATAAACTGAATACTAATATATCCCCCTTTACTTAAGAACTATTAAACCAATGTGCTAATGTATGGAGAATTTTAACAAAAATAATAAATCCTTATATGAATGAAAGGTATTATAATTACCCTCAAAGAGTGACACAGAGATAAGCAACAAAATCAAACTAATTTTAGAAGTGAAACTACATCTAAAAAGATGCAGAATCAGGGCTTCCCTGGTGGCGCAGTGGTTGAGAGTCTGCCTGCCGATGCAGGAGACACGGGTTCGTGCTCCGGTCCGGGAAGATCCCACATGCTGCAGAGCGGCTGGGCCCGTGAGCCATGGCCGCTGAGCCTGCGCATCCGGAGCCTGTGCTCCGCAACGGGAAAGGCCACAGCAGTGAGAGGCCCGCGTACCGCAAAAAAAGATGCAGAATCAATACACGGAAGTTTGGCCCTTTCTTAAATTAAAATATTTATTGTTCTGCCACTCTATTTGGTTACTGTGGAAAAATGGAGCTGCTGTACTGAATTCTCATCTACAGGGCAGTCACATGTAACAATTATACGTTTGAGGCATTGCTCTTACAAATCTATTTTAGGAGATTGTACTGACACTCGTCATTCTTTCCTTTTGAACTACTGTTGGATACTTAGAAGTCTTTATTTTCTCAACCAAAATGTCTATGGGCCTCATTTAATTTCCAATTAATTACTGATTTATCCTTCCTTGAAAATGAACAGTAAAGAAAAACACAAGTAAAATGCCTGATAAAACAGGCACAAAAGTAGGTCCTCCTTATTAAATATGACTGAGTCACTTTTATTTTCTATTGAAGAGAAAACAAGTGTGTGTAATCAAAAAAAAAGAAAAATATCTTTACAGACACAGAAGTTGATCCCAAATCAGTGACAAAAATCAATCGGTACATATCACAAGGATAAATAATTACCATGGTACCTTAGTTAATAACCCTAATAAAACAAAGTAAGGGATTTTTCTCTTTAAGTCAAAAAAACTCACCATCCGAAGGTGGGCACAGTCCACAAAGAATATTCATCAATGTACTCTTTCCTGTTCCACTGTGGCCAAGTAACGCAGTAATCTGACCCTCATATATGTCAAAGGATAAACCTAGTTCAGGGAAAAAGGAGAAGTCTCAAATGTGATTCTTATTTCTGTTGAGCCATGTAAGACAATACACAATACTTGAGCAACCTTGAAAGAAGTCAATAAATTTAAAGACAGATTTAAAGTTACCGGCATATTTAATAACATAATATTTAATATTATAACACAATAATAATTCTTTGTTATAGTCAATGGTATGAACAATAAGAAAAATGATACAAAATAAGCTTTTTCTTTTTTTATTACACTAACCGATCTAGAGGGGGCACAAAACATGGCGGGGGGGATTTCTGTGTACCCCCTTTGGGGAACTTCCGAGGGAATTAAAACAAAAGGACAGACAAAAATTTGTTCCCAAGGGTACTTAGAGGCATGTTAAATCTACTGGCAAAAAACCAGAAATTAACCAATAGCTTGGAAAAGGCTAAGTAAATGCTTTAAAAGTTCAATTTAAACAGGAGTAAAGTAGAATGAATATCACCAGATGGATGTGTCAGTGTTTGAAAGGGGACAGCAGAAAGGGGGCTGAAAACCCAGCTTCAAATAACTATAACCCCTGATCTGATGAAGGTGATCTCACGCTGATAGCATCCCAAGACCTGCAGGCCAGACGCAGCTTCAACTCCTGCCTGAGTGCCCAGCCTGCCAGCCCCGCCCTACAGATTTCAGACTTGTCAAGCCCCACAGTCGTGTGAACCAATGCCTCAAAAATCATCTTCCCCCCTCCCCGCCCGCCCCTCCCCACAGTGCCCTCACTCTCTATGTGTGTATATATATTCTAACGATTCTGAAGAACCCTGACGGACACACTGCTAAACACGCCACAACTGTCAGGACAGCTCCCCGTGACAAAGAACTATCAGACCCAAAACGTCAATAGTGCCAAGGCTGAGAAACCCTGTGTGAGGACAAAAGGAAAAAAAAAAAAAAGGAACTACCATGTATACACATGCTAATAATAAAATGAAAAAGGACACAGATTTGTTCAAAGAGTTGACTATTTTTCATCTCGATAGATATTACTTTTTTCTTTTACTACTTTGATGCTAAGTTTTATTATGACCATTAGTCACATAAATAAATGGAAGTATCCCTAAAGGAAAGAGAGAAAATTGTGGTAAAGAATTTAAATTTCCCACAAACTACGTACGTTGTTTTTCCATTTGTACTTTAATGCTATGGACTGAACACTAGGAAAGCTACTTACTTCTCAAAGCCTCCACATTTTCACCTTTCTTTCTGTATGTCTTCTGAATACCACTGATTCTGAAAAACACCATTTTCTACTTTATAAGTATTTAAAGCAATCTATAAGTACGTGTTTCCATGTATAATATTTTTAATCAAAGCTGTCATATTTAACGGGAATAATAATAAAGCATCTTCCTACTAAAACAATAAACCAAGGAAATCTGACAATAATAATAAAAGTGTTTTAAAGAAACTACAAGAGAAAAGTATAGTATTCCTCTCCATTTTAAGTGTTATTCATTCATTTTTCAATGATAAGCCAACTTCTAAAAAGAAACTGGAACATTTGACTCAAGCAATTTATAGATTTCTTATTTCACATTTGATTCTTTTCTGTTTGTAATTAATCAATACTTGTTTATCAGTTAAGGGAGATTAAAAACCGAGTGCTATTTCACATCAGCACTTGTCTATAAATGTGAAGTGATTCTCTCCTTCCACTTTAAATGTTTTACATAATTTTTGAAGGAATGAATGGTCTTGTTCAGCAGTTTAAATTTTACTCTTAAGAAGGCAGACCGCCAGCCCACTGACTGCATCTTAAATATCTAACTCTCCCTTGCTTTTATACATTTTTCTTAAATTTAAAAAACACAAATTATACTCCACTTTTTCTTGCACTTTTATTTCTTTTCTTGGTCTCATTATTTTTTTAATTTGGTTTTGACTGAACTAGAAGGAACAGTAATGAATTTCCTTCATTCTCAGAAATTAAGTTGATGTGACAAGTTAATTATGTCACGATTTCTAAGGGTCTATGAAATCAACAGAGCACAATTTAGTGTGGTGTATATCTCAGACAATGTAGCCTGAATAAAAATAGAAAGTTAATGTTTATTCTGTTTTAATCTACATAATGAGGAAACTTTAAAATAGCTTAATTTTATAAATACTAGGTTTTATTACTTTTAAAAATTTCTATTCAAACATAAAATTTCAAACCTAGCAGCAACCTTATTCTAAATGGCCGCAAAGAAAATAAAAACTTAAAAGAGAATTAGCCCTTAATACTGGTTTTTAAAAAAGCATGAAATGTGCACCAAATCTCCAAAGACACCATACTTACATGCATTATTTAAAAGATAGGATTTAAATGTGGCATGTTCCATGAGCAGTTCTTAGACCTAAACTGCCAAAGATTAAATCATACCTTATGGCTTCTTTTCCTATAAATTCTGAAGAAACAGGCTCAACAATTTCACTAAAACTAATATTCCCACTAACATTGCCCTCCGATAACTCCTTATAATTTCTTCTGCTCTTTGACCAATATGATGGCTTCAAAAAATAAAACGATGATCTCCGTAAACCAAATTCTCCTGGAAAAAAAAAACAAACCTGAGTTATCCTAACAAATTATTTCTGAAAACTAGTTATTAAATCATAAAGGCAGTCTGTGAAACCTAAGACAACCTAGATCTAAAGTTTAGACATAAAATACTAAATCGATAATGTGTGAAAAATAAAAGTTTTACTGACAACTCTTGTCCATAAATAGTTTCAGAGTTGCTGAGAGTCTAGGGAACATAAACGTAAGCAAAGTACATTTTCTGCCCTACAGAAACTTACATCGTTAGGACTACATGTACATACTAAACGGCTAAAACACAACGTACAGCATGAGGCGTGCCACGCACAGTGCTTAATAAGAGTTCAGAAGAGGAAAAGTTTACATCTGGATAGCCTGAAGGCTTGAATGAGTATCAGCTTAGTGTTTGAAAACAGACAGTATTCAGAAAAGTTGATATTGTTCATAAAGAAGGCTTTTTAGAACTAGGAGAAAAACACAGCCAGCCACCAGGACCGACACAGGAGACTTAGCTCTGCCTGCCCACACAAGCATGTACGTATTTTCTCCCTTTCTCCCCAAGGAAGCGACCCTTGCCGTCCTTTCTAACATCCACCCCTCCTCTAGACGAGCGCATGTTTCAAAGGGCTCTGATCCCAACGACAGAGAGATGCCAGTGGACCTAATGAGCCCCTGGCAGGCTCTGGTGGCTGCTACCACTGCAGCCACAAGCAGGTGCCAACCAGACAGGAGCGAAGGGTTTACTGGGGGAAAGGCAACCTCTCCCTCTTCCTCTGGATGGGAACAAAGAAGCACAACCCCGTGCAGCCAGAAGGAGAGCAAACCTGCCAGGTTGAGACCAAGAGGCAAGAACACGGAGAAAGTGGGTCCCTGATGACACAGCTGAGCAAGTCCAACTGACCTGGGGTCCATCCTATCTTTGGACTTTAAATAGAACGCTTGATTTCCTTCTTGTTTAAGACAACTAAAGAGGTTCTCTGTTATGGGTAGCTAAAAATAATGTAACGGATACACTGCAGATGTGTTTAAATAGATAAATAGGACCGTGTGGATGGATGCAAAATACAATACAGAGGGGCACAGTGGCTAAGAAGTGACTAAATACATAAAAGCAGTGTGGAGGAAATTAACATATAACAAGTTTCTACTTGATTCACCAGGCTATGCCCACCCAGCAAGGTGTCTGAGCAGGAGATTAGCTTGATTAGAGGGAACGGTGAGGTTCTTAGACAGACGTGAGGTAGGCAGTTAGATGGAAGCTGCCACGGCGGTCTAGACTAGCAGAGCCCACCATGCCTTCCTGCAACTACAGAAACGTCCTCACCTGAGCTCTGCAGTGTGGTGACTCACAGCCAGGAGTGGCTGCCGAGCACCTGGCCTGTGGCCTGCGCTACCGAGAAGGAACTGTTAGCTTATTTGATTCGAAGTAACTCAAGTTTTAAAAGCCACACCTGTCTTTCCATATAAGACTGCAGGTCTGGCACACAGACAAAATGAATGAGGAACTCAGGGGGAAAAGGAAAGGGGGTGTTGGATATTTAGTAATATTTTGAATCCGCACAAGTTTGCTGTCGGTGCAGGATGAGGGATGTGGGGAATGGGAGGGGTCACCAGGTTGCTCGTGGTGTCGGAGCTTATCGGGTGAAATAACAAAACACTGTAGCCGAAACGATGGACGTGGGGAAGGACTGAGTTAAGGAGTTCAATGAGGGACTGAAGGCTTTCAAAACAAACTGATCTCTTTTCACCCACAATCTCCTTATACATTCACTAGCAGTTAATGAATAAGGTACGAAATATACTTATTTAAAATTAAATTAAAAGCTGTAACAGCGAATACGACTTAGAAGAAAATTTTTTTAATTAAGTTAACCTTATGTGGGCAAAGAAACCTAAATATCTCTACCGTAAAATCCAATAACTACCTGCATACCTGGAATGACTTGATCAAGATAGACAGCCAGAAGGACATAGAATATGCTGTTAAGCGCCAGCATGATAATAGTAATAATCAGAGGATACGGCCCTTCAGTCAAATTAGAAAATAGAGCACCTTCATTAGAATCTTCTAAATGCATGACCTGAAAAACAGAAACACCAACTTTATTATATAAAAATGATAACATATTTTATCATTTTATAAAATAGCTAACACTATTTAGAGCTTCTCATAATATCCAGAGTCAGTAAACTGGGCCTTTGAACAGATTAAACAGTCTCCACCAAACTGGTAACGTGAGTTTATAAAGAAAACAGTAAACGTGAGTTTACTACAGCAACCCCTTTCAACCATGTTTTCAATGCTGTGCTTCTAAAACCAGTATACATCTATTCTTGGGGCATGTGCAATAATTCTAGTGCTATGATTATCAAATGAAATAAAAACTAATGCAAACAAAAGGGTTATGGTCCACAGAGAAGTCAGACAAATTAAGTGTTAGAGGATAAACTTATGGTCAGCACCTTTCAACACTGAAAAGGGAGAAGGTACTATAATTAATTAACACAGCTATTAAATTATTCATAGTAGATACAGGTGATAGAGCAGAAGGACAGCAGTAGAGGCTGAGGCCTCGTTTAGGTCTCAGCCCTGCCATTAAGTAAATAAACTTTAATTATGCTGTTCTGGAATTCAGTCTCATCTGTGAAATGAAGGTGAATTAAATGACATTCAAAGTCCCTCCCACTCAACAAAAACCTATGAATCTATAATTCTCCCTTCCTAAGGGGACTCAGTGGACTCTCGAAACATGTAATAACAGCTCTTAGGTCTCAAATAATTAAAATTCGTTTAACTCAATATTCATAAACAAGCAAAGTCTCACAAATAAGAAGTCTATCCAGCCAACATGAATAATCTCTTGTATTAAGTAATTACATTTTTTCTTTACACATTAACCAAATTTGTGTTCTAATACATAAAGCAGTTTCTTATAAGAATTTTCCCCTTAGAACCTGACTGCCCCGTAAAGACAAATAAAAATCAAATTTGTAAATCTAAATACTATTTAGGTAAAGATAATCTCATGAATGTTGGACCTATAAAATCCACAAGGTACTACTTTCACTACTACAGTCAAGAAAAATTTGTTCTGCTTCACACACAATTTTCTCCCAGGTGCACATGTGAGCTAAATTTACAACAGGGAGCAATAAATCCAGGCCACAGAGCAATCTAGATTGCCTGACGCATAAACCCATGACTTCTAACAAACTGAGTTACTGCAGTGAAACAGATTATTGAGATACACTAAAGTGAAAAGTGGAGAACTTATTTATAAACAGGTCATATAAATAAAAAACTTTAAAAATGGAGAAAATATAAACGAAACCAATATAAAATGTACTCCAATATTCAAGTATCATTCCTTTTTCATGTTGAAAATTTTAAATAATTTTTTTTGCAAACTAAGGGCAGTATGCATGGTAGTATAATATGCTGCACGGAAGTGGAGAGAAAAGAAAATACTTAGTGAAAGCAAGATATGTATATTACCTACCTGTGCAATACCAATCAAAAAAGTACACTGACAGAAGGGACTAAGAAGCCACACTAAAGATTTGGGAAAACTTTCCACGAGGACTATCAAAAGGCCAACAAATCCAAGAGACACAGTGACTAAAAATTCAACTATTCCCACATGTTTTGATTTTTTAAAAAGAGGCGTCAGCATTAAAGCAAAAAATACCTGTAAGATATAAGGTTTTAAGGTTAAAGCATTGTTCATATACACTGGTATGAAAACAAAATTAAATTTTCCTTGTGAAAGAACAAGTTATTTTCATTAGAAAATACATTCATTAAAATACAATTAATTTCTAAAGGCCATGGTGAGATATTTAATTTTCATACAAATAGTGCTCTACATTAAAAATTTAAACCGACAAATATTAAAAACTGCAGTTTATCTATGTAATAGGCAAACATGATCATCTCAGCACTGTAGAAACCATAAACCACCGTGTGTTTCTGCAGTTAGATACAGACAAATATGAACAAAACAGTATGTCAACAAGCTTTTACACAGAGCCCATCTTTTCAACTTCACGTGTTGACAAGAAACAGAGCCAGTTAAAAACCAGGCAATTATATAGAGGAGCATATCAGCTATTTGTAAATTATCATGTTAAACAGCAGGAATGGGACTTCCCTGGTGGCGCAATGGTTAGGAGTCCCCCTGCCAATGCAAGGGACACGGGGTCGAGCCCTGGTCCAGGAAGATCCCACATGCCGCGGAGCAGCTAAGCCCATGCGCCACAACTACTGAGCCTGCGCTCCAGAGCCCACACACCACAGCTACTGAGGCCCGCGCACCTAGAGCCCGTGCTCCGCAACAAGAGAAGCCACCGCAATGAGAAGCCCGCGCACCGCAACGAAGAGTAGCCCCCCGCTCACCACAACTAGAGAAAGCCCGTGCGCAGCAACGAAGACCCAACGCAGCCAAAAATAAATAAATAAATAAATGTTTTAAAAAAAGAGCAGGGGTGATAGTCAAAATATTTAACAACGGATACAGCATGGGCACATAAGCCAATCAGAATGGAAACTGGGACCACTTAAAACAAAAGCTTGTCATGAACATCCAACATTTAACCAAACTACCCAATGGAAATCAACACTGTCAAAGAGCTACATTTACAAAGATATATCTTTACACGACATCATCCTGTAACATAAATTAACTTGAAACAGTCAGGATCTCATAAAAACAAAGGAATAAAATGTCTAGTACCAGACAATCTTAATGGTGTATAATAAGCACAATTAAATGAAGATAGTGAAAGACAGACACAGAGGAACTGTATGTGGAATACATCATATGAAAACAAGTTAAACTTAGGCTTGAGAATATTCTGTAACTTTTCTAAAAATATGGAGGCACAATGATACAACTCATCTATCAGTAGCCTAGTAACAATCTTGTCTTTCATGGGAAATCGACTGTAAGTAAACCAAACAGTAAGACTTTATTAATCAAATATTTTGACAGTTCTTTATTCCCATTTCAAATGAAAGTACTTACAGATGATAAGCCATACAGGAAAAAAAGTAGAAATATCACAAAGCAGCTACTTTGAGGAAATAAAGAAGAAGCTGTTGCAATGACTGCCATGAGAAGGGACATGAGAAAAATCAAACTTGTATAGAGAAGGACCCAGGAGAGCCTGCAATGGGAACACAGATACATTTACGGCTAAAGATATAGGCTTTAACAATTAAAAAAAAAAAAGAAACATTTTAAACAAAACTTCAGCTTTATTTTAGCCATTTTATTCTTAAAATTAAGCCAATCTCTTCATTTCTTTGTATGCTCATCTATTGAAAATTAAAGCTCTCATATGTAATTAAAAATACAGCAGCATTGGTTAAGTTGTCAGTAAAAGTACCATCTGACACAGAGATAAAATGGTGACTATCTTTCCAAGAGTCCAAAAAAAACTGCACAGATTTATAGCAATTCATGATTAATTTAAATCTAAAACCCTCAAAAGTTCAACAATGCACAATACTTCTGATTTTCTTAAAATACGAAAGAGTTTTTAATGACTGACAATTTTCTTTATGGTACATGCAACAAACTGATGGCTTCTGGTACTTTAGACAGTAGAGGTTACCTTGCTAATCGACAACATAATTACTACAGGAACACAATGTGAGATCAGGAAGATCAACAACGGATTCACTACAGGACTCAACATTTCTCCTCAAAATCAGTGCTCAGTGAAATCACCACAGTATTTAGCTTCATTTTATTTTCATTTTTCAAGTTAGCAGATAATTTAATGTATGCTATCATAAAATCACCAAAATAGGGCTAAAAGATATCTGAACTACCAAAACTAAAACCATTATTTTACAGAGGCAAAACTGAGGCACTGAGAAACTGATTTGCCTACATTCTTCCAGCCACTGTTTCCTCACAGAATACTTTAATAACCAGTGCATCTCAAAAACCAATCACTAGTAGAACGACAGGAGAAAAAAAATGCACAAAGATGCTATGTCACACAGAATGACCCCATTACATAAAGTGTTTTAATTAACTGTTGCATTGAGCTAAATGGAATAAAATGGTCTACAATAATAACTCACATGCAACAGTATTAACTTCCCCCCCAAAAAAGAGGTCAAAATAATGTTGTTATTACATAGTGGAAAAAGTACGAAAAATACACCTAGAATTATTTATAAAAATGCATGCCTCTATAAAATTATCATTGTATAAAAATGCTAATGTGCTCATTTGTGAACTTTTTTCATTTGTTTCTCTAGAAATTACTTGCACATTATAATCTTAAAAAGTTCACAAAAATAACTTTCTCCAGGGGAAAGAAAGCCCATATACCACATACACAAACTTCTGTCATTTTGATTACATTTTAATAACATGTATATGCTACGATACCTGAGGAGGACTGTAACAGGCAATTAATTTCTAACTTCCCAAAATCTCCTATTTTCTATACACTGAGATATACACTGAAATACATGGAACACGCCTCATCAACTCAAACAAAATATGAAATAAAATTTAAATATATAATATCCACATGAGCTTTCCAAAGCTCACCTCCCTTATGTTAAAACAAGCCAATCAATTGCTGAAGCATTTTGGCTGGTCTCAAAAAACTCCAAGACAAAGGCAATAACTATGAGAAAACAGCATCAGCACCTCATCAAGTCAGGTGAACAACAAAATTACAATTCTGAAGATTTGTATACTTATACGATTATTAATCACACTGAATAACAAAGTTTTAATAACATACCAAAAGGCAGTGTCATGCAGTCCCATTATCTTTAAAAACTCTTTTAACTTCTTCTCTTTTTCTGCTACGATATGAATTGCCAAAAAGTATCCGAAAGGTGAAAATGCTATAACTAGGTATATTAAAATTACTCCTCGGGGAAAGGTATCTATTTCCACAACAGCAGTTTCTCCCATAAGGACAGCCTTAGTTGGCTCCAGCTCCTTCCAAAAAGAAACATTGGTCTTCAGCTGTAATTAGAAAATGTAAATACATTCAATTAATTTAGTTCTGATAGTAGCCCCTAAAATAATGTGACAGTTATACCCCCAAATTTAATCAATAACCTCGTACAAATACCATCCTCAAAAAGCTACACACCAGAAATAAAGTGATTGACCCCAGCATCATGATGCCTATAGAAAACTGCTTTTACTCATTCTGGAGGCATGTCATGAAGTTTAAAGTCTGAAGTTGGGAAGTATATAAATTTTTATTAAATCATTTGTCAAAGAAAATAAAACTGCACATGATCATCTTTAGCTGACAATTATATGTATCTTAATAAAAACATGCATTTATAAAATTGAGGAATTAAGGAATGACTACTAGTACTATGAAAGAATGACTCTTTTTAAAATGTTCTTTTAGATAGTAAGTCCTTCTAGTGTTTTAAAATCTATATATGCAGCACGCATATAGACAGAACAATAAAACTAGTTATGCCATACGATACACTTCTACTTAACATTCAAATGAATGGCTAAAATGAGATCTGCTCTACCTGTTCATCTAGTATGGTCTGGGTTGTGGACAGCAAAGGTCTTTGGCCAAAACACAAATAAGTACTTTTAACACTGTCAATGTGATATGCCCTATATTTCACTGTCATTACCTTAATCTTCTGTGTTACTGAACACTGTATCTACAGTACATTTATACCATGTTGTGAGAGTTTATAAGACAATTCTATATACATCATCTCATATGGTTCTAACAACAACGCAGTCAAGTAAAGCATTATTTTTGTAGTCATTTTACTACATAGCAGTCTAACAACTAACAGAGACAGGTCTCCTATTCAAGGTCTCCTGTTCATTTCTGCTAAAATGTGAAACACTGGATCAGGCCTAAGCATGTCTTTAGAACGTAAATGCAACATTTATACACAATCTTAGTGGCAGTACAGTATTAAAATACAGAACTGGGAACCCAAAAGCGATAGTCTGAATTAGCTTTGCCACTAATTAACTGAGTTTTGGAAAGTCACTTATAACCTTCCTGTGCTTCAGGTGCACATATAAAATGCAGACAATAACAGCAGCCTTTAACATAGGGGTGTTAAAGATTACATGGGTTGATCTTAGTATATAACTTCTTAGAAATAATGTTTGGCAAACAAGTGATAAATGTTTGTTAAATAAGAAATAAAATCTACCACTGTGATTAAGATAAAGATACTCACCTTCTTTAAACTAAGTTATTCTTATTCAAGGGAAAAGGTCTGCACATGTAGACCTTTCATAAATATTATCTACAGTCAACACGGACATGATAATACTGGTATACAGAATGCTGAATCACCTGCTTAGAAACCATCAAATAAGGTGGGTTTCAAAAAAATTAAGTCAGAGAATATGACTTCTCCCTTATCTCTTTCCATAAAGGAGTTGTATTAAGTTATGTATTCTGTACATTTGACAGCAGTCAAATGAAATCCTGTGGTAAAGACTTCGGGGATGATCGGTAAAACACAGTTTGACTCTATTTTCTTCCTTTTTCATATTTACCTGTATAATGGCAGTATCTATCGAGGCCTGTAAAACTGTGAACCCTGAGGACCAGTACTGAACAGCCTCACATGATTTTGAACAGCCAGCTATGGAGAAAAAAAGGTGAGGCGTAAGATTCTGCAATATACAAGTGTTCTCTTTAAAGGCAGCACACATGGGGTTACCAAAGTAATATAATTAATCAATCTCTACAGGACCAAAGAAAATAAGCAATGGCCCTCCAAAGGCAAACGGAATCTATCACGTTCCTCATTGTTTACTTCAAAGTTTTGAAATTAAAGAGTTACATGTGTTAGGATACTGAATCGTAAATGAATACAAATGGAAAGAAAGAAATTAATGGTAAACACAGTTATTTAAAATAAATCAGTTTTCTGTTTTAAGGCAAGCCATTCTACAATGACTTATCAGCTTTAAAGATCTTCCAGAAGCAACGGCAAGTCCAGGTGAACAGCACAGAAAAAAAGAAAAATTCTTTAAGGGCTTTGCGGAATCAAGTCACAAATACAGTGCTTAACAGTGACTTTAACATTAGTCAAGAAATGTTTGTGGTTGATAATTATCTTTTCAGAGGTTTAGGCATTGAAGGCTGTTTTCCATGTTTCCAACATAAAACTAATAAGGTTTATTGGTGGAAGACCTTGAGATTTTAAAGGTACGTGCCATACCACATATGAAAACAATTACATGGAGAAAAGAACAGACTTAGAATGTCATACAATTCAAGATAAAATTTTGTTTTGTTACTGTAAACAATATAAATGTATTAAAATTAAGATGGATGTTACATAAATTATACTTCATATTATATATATAGATGTAGACAGATAAATACACATATATTTTTATGCTACAGTTGACAGTCTTCTTACCTGAATAACTATTATTTAAAATGCCAATGGTGGACACCATCAAATTTTGCATATGAACTATAGGAGCAGCAAAAATGGGAATTTAATTCATTTTCATTGATTGTTTAGGGCCATTTACCTCTTGAATCCATATAAACAGAAGACACTGGAATCATATCAGGAAAAAAACGGAGTTCATAGGACATGAAGTCTTTGAAAACCACACCTACAAAGTTGCTGGGCTTAGAAAGACTGGATGCTAGCAATTCCTTTTCACTTGTATATTCTTCGGTAATTATGACTATAAAATATTATAACAATTTAGTTAGCTCACAAATTTGAATAGTTTATTGTAATACAATACACCAAGTTTAACATTATATTTGATGAATGTAATATTTCATAAGCACTTGTTTGATGCTCTAACTTCTTAGAAAATGAATACAGCTCTTCTAAAAAGAAACTAAAAAATGAATATTAAAATAGTGCAATTTTACAGACACTAATTCTTAGCTGTCATTTGATGACATAAATTATGTATGTGTCATGTAACATATAAGTTATTAACGTAATAAAATAGATCACATGCTTTATATGCAATATATGTAGTCCACTTAGCTACGTCAAAGTAAAACCATACAAACGACTCCTTGATAAATGAATGGATATTTGATTTTCAAATATTCCTTCTTATGAAGAAAATTCCATAATCCTTCCTCAGAAACTAAATGTGTATTTTAGTAACTATGACACACTCTTCTTTGAATAAAAATTGCCATTTAAACCCAATACTGCTTGTTCCTTTCTTAGAAGATACATGAAAAAATGTAACCATCATTCAGCTCTTTTCACATCAATAATCTTAACTTTTTAACATTTTCTTGAAGTTTTATTTACAAGCAAGCAGTCTTCACTATAGGAGGCTCAGAACATGTCATGAAATGGGAAAAAAAAAAACGTAGGATCAGTACTTAACTTTACTACTTATTAGCTGTGTGAGAACAGGTAAGCAATTTAATTCCCTGAACTTTAGTATCCTCACCCACAATACCTAGCTGATCACAAGGGGTTGTTAATATCAAATGTAGTTACAGACACGAAAATGCTTTGTAAATTATAAAGTATTACTTAAGTGTTAATTCTCATGATCTTCCAGACCTTGAAGGTGTACATGGAACTCCAGGATTGATCTGAAGAAAGAGGGTGTTAATCCAACATCCTACCAGTTAGGTTACCATGTACGTATGTACAATCTCACGTTCAGAGTTCTGCCGTTAAAAAGACAGAACTTAAAAAAAAAAAGTCTACATACATTTCTACTATTCTGGCATCTAAGTTAATACACGCTGACTTGGATTTCTTTAGCATATATACTTTTGTCCTACTCAGAATTACCAATGAATTTCACTCTCAACGTTTCTGAGGAGTTCTTCTCAGCTGACCTGCTGAATTCTTACGGCTGCCATGCTGCTTCTGCGTAACACGATAAACCAACAAATGCATTCTATACAGTAAGATACAAATATTAAACAGTAACACACCAGAAGGAAACCACTGGGGAGAAAGCTATTTGGCTCGTGGTTGTATCAACATCTTCTGTTTAGTGACACATTATCCAATAATGCGTGACACACACTAAAGTCAGTTACCACTAACAATCCTATATGATGGAAGATAACAGGTTATTTTCTTATTTTCTATAATTCAGCATTTCATTAAATCAATCATCCTGGCATCAGCATTACTGTCTTTATGTATTTCTAGTTTCTTAATAGTTACGTGAGTCAGAATCAAAATGAAATATTCCTTCAAATCTTTTATACTATACAAATATGCTATTTTATAAATGGTCTATGAATTAAATATAAAATAGTAAAACATAAAATATGCTTCCTATTACCAAGACTACAGATTAAAGTTTCACAAGAATCATAAGGCAGCAGAATTAAATGATGTTAGTATTTCTATGAAACTATGTTTTGGTGAAAGGACATATATCTAAATGTTAAGAATGGTATTTACTCAATAAAGCAAACAGCAAAATACTGAAGAGGCTTTCTGCAAGAGACAGAATACACATGTAAACTCACAATACCCTTAGGAAGGTGATCAGTAGAAACCTTCTGCATGATGTCTCTTGTAATATTAGTCACTGGTGTAAATCCAAGAATTACATTAGAGAGGATAGATTTGTCCATGGGGTTAAGCTCCATGTCAGGCACTTCTTCATATATCTTATTTGGATGCATCATGCTTATTAATATTAACCAAAATAAAAAAAAAAGTGGAAAAAGAATTTCCTATAATAAAGGAAACAAACAAAATGATTACAAAGTATAACAATGGCAGCAAAAATCATCAAGATTTCTATGAATATAACTAATACTAACAAAAAACATGAGGAACTTGGGTCTCCTCTCTTAAGTACAAAAAATAAAAGCAATTCCATCCTAAAAGAAATACTGTGCTGAACCTAACCCAACAGCATATGAATTTTTCCTTTACATTCAATTTTACTAAAATATTTTAAAATTCAAGTCACCATAATACATTTAAATGACATAAAAGCTAACATTTAAACATCTTAGATTACTAATATAAACTATAATAATAAATTTACTCATACATGACTTTATTCAAAGTAACTTACCAAACATCTGTAATAGGGATCACCATAAAAATGTCTTTATTCAAGTCTGAATTAAAACTCATGCTTTAATTACAGCTAAGTTTCTACTACTAAAACTATACTCAATTATATTCAGTAGTCAACTTTAATAGGGGTGAACTCATTATTGTTTCATGTTGCTGTTTAATTGTTCTGCTGGCTTCAGGAGAAGATCAACAATACCATTCCATCCTTTAAAATCACTAGTAACTGGTTAGCCAGAGTTCTTACTTTCTTTCACCTTTTAAAGTAATGTATGCTAAATAATTAAATAATAAAGTAACGTATGCTTGTGGGAACAAATACGTGACATAATTTTAGTAATTATGGGCAATTCAATCCAGAGTCCAAAAGATGGCCGGCGATAAGGAATAAACTATGGAATAATGTTCCATGAAGTTTTCTGCAGAACCTATTTTTCATTCCATGAAACAGGAAATGCATGCCTCAAGGTTCAAAATCAAGCACTGATATTAGAAATTAACTAAATTTAGACATCATTATTAAAATTTTTGACATTCAGAAAACATGGGATAATTTAGGTATTTTTCTGAGGCCAACACAACAAGTTTTTACAAGCAAATTAAAGGGACCTAAGAATATAAAAATATAATAAAAATGTATCCAGCAAAACAAATCATCTTTTAAAGATGGAACATACTAATGCAAAATAAACTGCAATAAGACATAATGGTCACTTAACTTACCTGAACGCTACTTTTTTTAGTCCTGCATTTAATGAGGTAATTCTTCAGTAGGAGTGTTCTGGTCTGTCTCCAAACTCCAACTTCCCGAATTGCAGTAGCCATGTTTTCTGGATTAGTTTACTAAAGAAAGGAGATTGGAAAAAAAGAAATTGGAACCACACAGTCAAGTATATGCCATTTCTAATGTCAAAGACAGACAGATGTTTCAGCCTCAGGCTAGACAGTTAAGTATACTCCACACTGTCTCTCCTACCCGGACAGAATGCATGGAACGGCAATGTGAAGATCCTGAAAAGTAAATAGTAGCATGTGAAACAAGGGGGAACCGGAATTCCACTTTTTCTCTTCCAGTGTCTTCTAAACTGAACGCACTGGAAGTGGGCACTGGGACACAGAGAAAGCTCCGGAGGAAGCTCTCTAGTTCTGGCTCGGTAGGAAACGGAAGTCTTCTGCTCACGGAGAACGGGGAAACACCCAGTCTTTTATTCTTTTCTGCATTCTCCTGTGCCCTTGTCCCCAAGCAACCCCGTTTACAGCAGTGTCAGACTGCAGTGATGAAAGCTGAGCCCAGCTAAACTCTCTCTTCTGAGTGGAGCTTCTTCCACAAGGGTCGGGAGACAAAGCCCGCCGCTTTCTGCTCTGCCGCCTTCCAGACACAGGGCCCTGAATGCGGCACATGCAGTCGCCGAAGTGCGTGGCCCAGTGGGGCAGGAAAACCCTAGCTTGGCGGCTGGAAGATGGAAAAGAGAAGCCACAGGGAATCAAAAAGTAGCAGGGAGAGCAAATGAAAAGAGGAGTTCAGGGAAGCAACGCAATGAAGTTGTTCATTAGCTCCTGGACTAACACACCCAATCTGGGTAAACATGCATCAAATCCTACTCTGTGCACCAAACACTTGAGGAACTGAATTCACAGACAGACCCACCGCCCAGATCCGGATGGGTCACTGGGCGGCACACACGGACAGATTCAAACTGCACTGCAAAGGCTTCTGAAAACTAAACCGAAATTAGAACCACAGTTCAGAGAACGTGGGCAGAAACTGAAGACCTGAACCTAACCAGGTGGACAGCACGCTAAAAGAAGACATCAATGCTCTCTACGGGATGAAAACAAAACCCGCAGTCTCACACAACCCAAAATGACTCCGGTAATGAAGCATGTGAAAAATGTCAACTCTACCCACAGGTGCCACTGCCAAGATGACACAGATTTTGAAATTATCTGACGAAAACTTTAAGGCAGCTATTTAAAAAGTGCTCCAGCAAACAGTGGCAAGAAAACATTCATTCTTGAAAACAATGAAAGTGTCAGCAAAGAAACAAGATATCAAGCAGCACCAAGTAGTCATTCTAGAACAGAAAAACACAGCAACAAATACACAAGATCCACAGAATGGGCTCAAAAGCAGAATGGAGACAACAGAAAAACAGTCAGTCAACTTGATAGATCAAGAGAAGCTACTCAATCTGAACAAAAGAGAGAAAAGAGGTTTTGTTGTTGTTGCTGTTGTTTTAACAATTAACAGTACCTCAGAGAACTGTGAGGCAATAACAAACGGTCTAACATTCAAACGATCAGAGACCCAGAAAGAGAGAAGTGTGTTAATGCTGCACAACATATTTACAGAATTACTGGCTGAAAACTTCCCAGATTTGGCCAGAGATGAAACACCTAAGAGTTTCAAGAAGCTTGATGAAATCCAAACAGGATACATCGAAGGAAATCCACATTCAAACACATCGTGATTAAACTGCTAAAAATGAAAGACAGCGAAAAATCTTGAAAGCAGCCAGAGAATAACCACTGCATCACCTGCAGGAATACTGCTTTGAAAGAGAGCAAATTTCTCATAAGAAATCCGTGGCTAAACTGGGTACTCATACACTGCTGGCCGGACTGCAAAGTGGTTTAGCTGCTGAGGAAAAGTTTGGCAGCTCCCCAAAAGTTAAACAGGGTTCCTACATGATCCCACTACTCCATGGGGACTCAAACAAGTGCACGTTCACGCAGGGTCATAACTGCCAAGACGTAGAAACAGCCCAAATGTCTACCAACAGACGAAGGGAAAAACAAATTGTGGTGTATACACGCAATGATTTACTATTTACCATAAAGAGGAATGCAGTACTGATACATGCTACAACGTGGATGAACCTCCAAAACCTTACGTTAAGTGAAAGAAGCCAGACACAAAAGGTCAAATCGGATTCCATTTATGTGAAATTTCCAGAATACATAAATCCACAGAAATGGAATGCAGACTGGTAGTTGCCAGAGGAGAAGGGGAGAAAGTGCTTCATGAGTACAGGGTTTCACTTTGGAGTGACGGAAACAAATTTCACCTCAGTATACTTTTTGAGCTGTATGACCTAAATCACTGCATCACAGGCCCAGTAGACCTCTTCCAGGCTAAGCTGACCCTCTGGAGGCCCCTGGGGCCCCTTCTGCAAGTGGACCTCTGTTGGAACCACATCGCAGGTCTTCAAAGAGGTTATATGCAAGCAGAAGCCAGCCTGGCCGGGCTCCCGAGTTCACTCTCCGTGGTCCCTACTCCAATTGGCTCGGCCCCGTCACCTAGAAAGGTATCGAGAGGGCAGCTTGGAGGAGACACCAAAAAAGTCCCGCTAAGCCTTCTTCAGAGAGATATTTGTTCCTTGTTTTATATAAACCTATTTGATGGCAGCCACTGGTGTGACCCCCCCTCTACCACAAGAACAGTCTGTTCCAAGCTGGCTGACCGTCTCCACCTGGATAAAAAAGCAGGCAACTTTTTAGAGGCAGCTTGTCTTACCCCCCAAAAGGCAATATACATAATTAAAGTTTGGATCAAATAAACATCCTCTTTATATGTACAGAAGAGAGCTTTTTCTTAAATTTAACGATGAGATTTAGACAACTTTCATTCCCTCTGTGCTTTTTTCTATTTTCTCAATTTTCCCATCAATATGTGTTCCTTATATGGTGGGGGAAAAAGTAATTACACAATTAGATATACTGTAAAAATATTAAATGAGTAAATTAAAAAGAGCAAAATTGCAGCAGCCAAGAAAGGAGGGTACACTCAAAATAAATTCTCCCAACAGCCTCACTCCTGTTATATCAGATCCTGCAATGAGCTGGTGATCACCTCTAGGCCGATGAAAGGAAGGAAGAGAGGAAGGAGGGAAGGAGGGAGGGTGGAAGGTAGAGAAAGGCAGGCGGATCACACTCATTCGAGGATGATTTACTACGAAACATAGAAACACTAACCAACTTAACAGCAAGAACATTCTTAAGCTATCTGCCAAAACACATTGATTTAGTGGGAGCCGCTGAATTATTCACTCCAATTGAATGCTGCATGCTCGATGCTTGTTTCTAGAAAACAGGCCCCTCCTGAAGCAGCTGACGGACTCACAGTATCTTCCTTCCTTTGAGAACTGCTCCCTGAACTCAGGGTTGAGTCTTTAACAGCCTCGCCTGAAGCCCATGAACCTGTGCACACACCCCGCCATCCCACCAGACAACACCACGACTACCATCACCACGGCCACCTCTGAGCGGTAGCGTTTAAGTTTTCTCCAGGCAGAGTGGAATTTTTAACTAAGAGACCCAGAGACTGGGACTCACGGAAACAGTTAGATTAATAGAAGCATTTAAGAAAGTTCATACATTCTCGGAACTAAGCTTTCCCCTAAGGTTTGATACCTGCTGTGCCCAAAACCTGATTCTTCTTCCTTGGACTATGTGAAATGCCCTATCATCTCACCCAGTATATTTTATTTTCACTTAAGCTGGCCAGATCAGTTTCTATTTCTCACATCAAAGGACTCAGCCAGTGTTACAGTATAATGTGTTCTTAACTCCATGGTTAGAAAACTCCGAAAACAGCGGTTTTCAAAGTGAAGTGTGTCAGGAACAAAGGGAAGTGTTAAAGACCCACGTGCCTCCCTGCCTACTAAGTGTACAGTTCCACTGACGCTAACGGGAGTGAGCGTGCAGGGCCCGATAAAAAGTGGAGAACCACTGATGTAGTTTTTAAAGTAGCTTTAAAGTAATATTAACAGGGAGATAAACGTCTCTGCAGAAGATGACGTACAATGACTGATCAAAGGAGTCACTTCAGTGTCTATTCAGCCTCAGTTTTGTCCTTTCTTCCAAAGCACAAAATCCCTTCTGAAGCAAAAGGTGTTTTCATGCTGTTTTCCTTTTGCCCCTGAGCTCTAATTTTTCTTCCTCATCGTTTTTCCTCAGCCAGAATGTCTTCTGTCTCAGCGCAGAAAGCATTCCGGGAGAGGCAGAGTGAGAGGGAAGGAAGAGTTTGTTAGTACAGGACGCTTGTGAGAGATACAAGCCCACAGGCAAGGGAGTGCCGTCCTGAGAACTCGGCGGGCTACATTTTTATAAGCAAAGGAAAAGTGGGGAGGGGGGAAAAGACCACCTTCTTTTTCATTCTTCAAGTCTTCCACTATTAACTCCTCCTACATGGTGGGCGGGGGAGTTTTTGACCCCATATGGCCCAACCGGGATTGTCATGGCGCTATGGAAATGAGCAAAACAGCGCTCCTGTTACACATACTATGATATTGTAAATTATTTCAGGTTTTGGTATAATGTCACCTTTCCCCGATATCTCTGCTCTTAGTGCATGCAGACATGTAAGCCCCTTCTCAAGGATCATCAACTTGCCGACTTCACTGGGCAGGATGTGGGTCTCATAACACCATCGTTTCATTGTTTGGGGGCATGTCTCGTGCTTCTGCTGCTTGGTTCTGTTGTTAAGCAAACCTGCTTTCCTGAGTGATCGTTAACTTACAGGGTCTCTCATACTTTTTCATTTATGATCCCCTAGTGGGATTAACTATTTAATTACCTACTTTGTCTCCCTACTCTGTCCCTGTCAGAATGACCAAAAGAATAAATACACATAAAGCTGAAAATGGTGCCTGGAACATGGCAAAGTAATGACACACATTGATCACTACTGTCTATAAACGTAGTATAACTAACATCCTCAAGGGCTATCATACTCACGAAACAAGGACAAAGCAATTCAGAGAAAGCTGCTAGAGAATTTGGAAATGGAACAGACAGGTAGAAATAAAATTCTTGCTAGCTGGGGTGAGTGCCAAATCGGTGAGTTAGAATGGACTGAGTCAAGGTAATTCCCCCAGAATCGATGGCCAGAGGACAGAGGGAAGAAAATGCTGACCAGAAAGCATGAACTCTGTTATGAAGTATACAGACGAATCAGTGCTATGACTCACCTGCACAAACCGATGTTTTTTATATTCATAAGCTCCAGTCTCATCACGTGAAAAACGTTAAATTTCAATAACCTTGAACTTCCATCTACTCAAATTATTAAAACATCTTCAAGAAGAAAAATCAATTGACTTATTGTTTTCTTCAAGAAAGTAAACACCTGGTTTGGGTGTTTGAAAACTAAAATGAAACATTCTTAACATCGATTCTTCATTAACTTTTAGTTTAATGTTCACCTAACCAGTAACTTCAAAGCTGCAGACAGGTTTTTATAAACTGACAACGATGAACCTATTTGCCCACCTGGGCACCCACAACCCGCGGAGTCTAAGCAGGTGCAATCTGAAAAGGGCCATGGGGAATCAATCAGGCGAGGATGGCTCTGCATCCTGTGAAGCACGAGCTACTGTAAAGGCTCCCTGCAAACCACAGGTGCTGAGGGAAATACTGTGCTGCTTCTTCAAGTGCTGAGATCACAGCGTCTCTGCGAATTAATGTCTGTCCTTTGGGAGAAGCCGGAAGGAAAACGAAAAGAGGGAAGCCTGCACCTCCCACTGGTGATGTGATCATAAAGTCCCCTCTGCTCCCCCCGCCCCACACTGCTTTGCAGGGTAGGGAGGGGGGATTTGGGATGGAGGAAGGATATGGGAAGGCAGTGCTTTCTATACTGAAGACCTCTGCCGAAGATAAAGAGACGGGTGTCTGAGCTGAAACCAAGCCCTACGGGCGGGGCACTGAGGTCTCCTGAAAGAAAGATGGAAGTCCACCCCGCAGAGGTGACATGAAAGTGGCTCTTCTGACTCCAGTGCACAGCTGAAAGCGGGGCTGCAAAGTTAGGAACGAGGCACGGCCAGCAAGGGGACATCTGTAAAAAGTTTAACTCGTCCTGTGCCTTTTCCTGGACCAAAAGAAAACCCATATTTAGCATAAAGCTCTAAATTTCCTCTTTCTACACTATAATTCCCCTGAATTATCCCAAACGTTATAGCCTTATGTGGAGAGATTCAAAAGGACAAAAGCAAAAGGCAGTGAAGGATGCTTGGCCTGCCCCGCATTTAACATTGGCTGTAAGTGGGAAGAGAATCATACAGTCAACATCCAGGAGGAGTTTACTCACAAGTAACAGAGTTCACACAAGCCCAGGGCATTGTAAATAGAGACGACCAGACAACCGTAAAAAAGCAGCTTTCTGAGTAGACAACACATGTAAGACCTCTTTTGCAACGTATATTAGAAGATGACCCTTGAAAGCACAAGTTCACAACTCAAGAGCAATAAAACTTCTAATGGCATAGTTTTAACAAATTGTACTTTTTGGAAAACTTACAATACTTGACACAGTTCCAAAGTCTTACCAAGGCAGTACCTTTAAAACTCTTAAACAAAGCCAATTCTTAACTGCTCGAGAACTATGACAAAGACATAGAAATACGGGTACAAAATTATTTTTAAGAATATTTAAAGTGTCTTTCCATTGCTCCACAGCATATCTGGGGAATGTGTTAAGTTTGTTATAGAGCTTTAAATAATAATTAGTTTTATGCACCTAGTATCACTAAAGGTTTAATTAAATATTTAACTTTCTGCTGGAGGAGGGAGGGAACGAAAAGTGCTCACTGAACTGAGAAAGCACCTTGAGACCGAAAAACAAAACGAGGCAGGCAGCTGCACGTAATCAATGGATCCGTTTATTACGGGGTAACCTACTCACAGGGTGGGCTCCGGATCGGGGGAAAAACGACCTGCAGCTGCACTCCCCTCCCCACCGGCGGGGGCCCCTGGGACGACTTTATAGTTAACCCAGCGTATGGAGGCAGGTGCTTGGAAACGGGACTTGTACTTCTAAGTCAAAATTCATGACTGGGTACCTAGTCTCGTGGGCACCGGGAATGTACATCATCGTTGTCTGGGGACTAACAGAGCATGGAGGCCACCTGATCCTAACGATTATTAAAAGAGTTTCTATTAACTGCAAAGCTTTGACAACAGAGAAGTGACTTACTGCACAGTTCAGTCCTGGGTAGGGTGGGTGAAAGGACAGGATAAACTGTAAGAGCCCAGGATGGCGTCAGTAATGCTAACAGCCATATATCCATACTTTTCCTAGATGAAAATAATCCACATTAAATCTAATAAATTGCGAGAAAACGGAAAGCCCACTAAAGCCCATCTTCCTTTTCTAATGCATTAATAGTTGACTTAAAGACTGAATTTACGTCACCCAAAATTCAGTATCAGAAATTCACTACTGTATTAAAGAAACACTGATTACTATATGTGCTATGAAATATATTTCACCTTTCTCAAAGCAGTAAAATGTGCATGACCTTTAGAAATAACTGTCAGAAAAAATTATGTAGAATGTATTAATTTTAGTTCTGAGAGGAACAAATTAAGATTATATCCTATAAAACAAAGGAATTGAGCCATCGGAATGTTCACAGCCGTCCTGGCAAAAGATGTGGTCAGTCACCTTAGCAAGTTTGAAAAGATTCCTGGAAAGGATCTAAGCTGAAAGTATCCCCAACAGACGACTATTAGAGGTGACTTCTCATCCACCCAAGCAGAGCTGATTATTCCTCCTTTGTTCCAATAAATAAACTGTAATTGCGGTTACCATGCTGTGTCATCATGATTTGTTTACATCTTAATCTTGAACTTGACCATGAAATCCGTGACAAAAAAAGACTGCCTTCTTTGCTTCTCTACCACCCATGGTAATACTAAAACCGGTATCATCTTACCGCAAGTTCCTTTATCCAGATTTGCTGAGAGTCTTTATAGATCAAAGGTCTGTAACGGAGCCCGAGGGGGTTAAATCCAGCCCACAGACTGTTTTGTACAGCCCAGTAGTTAGGAATGTTTTTCACATTTTTAAATGGGGGGAAAAAAATCAAAGAATAACCGTATTTTGTGACATGTAAAAATTATAGGAAACTCAAATCTCGAGTCTAGAAATAAAGTGTTATTGGAGCAGAGCCATGCTCAGCTGTTTCTGTGCCGCCTGTGACTGCTTTGTGCTACAACGGCAGAGTTCAGTAATCAAGACAGAGACCATGTGGTCCACAAAATCTAAAACATTTACTGTGTGGCTCTTCACAGAAAAAGCTTGCTGACCACCGTTACAGACAAAAGGAGGAAGAAAGAAGAAAAGCGGCATAGTCATTAAACATTTACTGAGGGATTTATGCACCAAACTTTTTAAAAAAAATACAAAACGGAGTTAGACACTGTCACTGACTTTGCAGATAAATAAAATTTAATATAATGTGGTAAGTGCAACTGGGGGAAAGAGTCTGGGAAAGAGTGGAATGCAAATTCCAGGCAGGGAAAAAGAATGGAAGAACTAGACTCCCCAAAGGGGCTTGACTCGTGTAAAGAACAGGGAAACCTGCAATGAGGCAGAGGCTCGGGCAAAGTGAATTGGGGCAAAAAGGGCAGGTGTACCCTCTAGATGACACTATTAGGACAGGCCCTGGAAACAGGTTGTCAAATACCTTATATACAAAATTAGACTAGACATCTTTATTTTGTGTACCCATACTTCCTTGACTGCACTTTTCATACCTAAGAATAATTGTTTAATTGCCTGGCAATCCCATATTTCACTAGTCCTTTCACTTTCCTAATCCCCAAAGCTTCCACCCACAGCATCGCCCTCAAATGATGACCTTGATCCCCACTTCACTGAGAAACTGAAGCCATCAGGAGAAATTTCCGAAACGTTCCACTACCCCTTCTATCCACCTACCTACAGCCGCATCAGAGGTAATGTTATACATTTCAACAAGGTGCCATTTTGGCCTAAACTGAAGATTTTGTTTCCACTAGAACTCTGAGAGATAAAAGCTAAATGGAATCTGGTATCAATGAGACCTTTAATTTAAGATTTATTTTTCAGAAGAAGAGGTTAAGAACATCTTTGGCAGATGACTTGAAAGAAGTTCCTGCCCAGCTACACACATCACTGGCTTCTCAACTAATAAAACAAAAGCACTATCGGGACTTCCCTGGTGGTGCGGTGGTTAAGAATCCACCTCCCAATGCAGGGGATGCGGGTTTAATCCCTGGTCAGGGAACTAGATCCCACATGCATGCCACAACTAAGAGTTCGCATGTCACAACTAAGGAGCATGTGTGCCCCAACTAAAGGAGCTGGTGAGCTGCAACTAAGGAGCCCACCTACCTCAACTAAGACCTGGCACAACCAGAAATAAATTAAAAAAAAAAAAGGCACTATTAAAATCAAGCCTTTTACAGGAATTCCATGGTGGTCCAGTGGTTAGGACTCGGCACTCTCACTGCTGAGGGCCAGGTTCAATCCCTGGTCGGGGAACTAAGATCTCACAAGCAGCGAAGCAGAGTCAAAAAAAGAAATCAAGCCTTTTAACTTAACAGGGAATAAATTATAAATGTTCTCTTCTTCTCTAGTGTTTTAAAATTTACTGAAGGTAGTATAATAATAAAAGAAAATAATAATTGTCAATATGATTTAACCTAAATTTTATGACAGTATTTCTTGCTGAATGGGTAAATAATGCAATGGTACCCACACGACAAGTTATCCAATACCTTTTCTTATATATAACAGGTTCCGAAAAACTTGTGCTTACAACTATTCTACGACGATTAATTCACACACTAGCAAAGATTCCAATTTATGAGAATACTACAAAATTCTTTTATGCAATCATCTCCTCAAGCTCAAGGGCAGAGATTACAAATCGTATTCATCTTGGCATTCTTGGCACATAGCTTAGCATCTAGAATATAAAAGACACTCAGATAAACCTGTAATGTATTAATAATGTATTAATGTATTAATAAACTTGCTTTGACCCTGAATGCAAGATTTCCCTATACTGAATCCTGTTTGAAGGAAAATACACTTAAACAGCACATATTCCAGGATTAATGCCTTACTAGTTAGCTTTTAACCCAAATACCCCCAAGAGCCCTAACTGCCCTAATAATGTTCTCTTGTACGGAGTCTTCCCTAAAAATATGTAACATCGCTCTCTGGATAGAAGCAAAATATAGGGCATCAAGGACGAGAATTTAGAGTCTGGCATCCCTGGGTTGGAAGCTCAGCCCTTTTGGCTAGTTGGGACCGAAATAAGTGACTTGACTTTTTTGGGAAGCGTTTTCCACATCTGCCCAATAGAATAAGACCCCTCCGACCTCCAAAGGATGCTGGCAAGACTGAACGAGATAATACTGAACCTGGCTCACGGCTGGGAGTCCAACATACACTCCTTTTCTCCCCTTCCGTTCCTGCACAACGTCCTCGATGGAAAGTAAACGTGACTGCCTTTATTCTTTCAGACTTATTTAGAAACGTCTGTCCAAGCCTTGGGAGCCCAGAAGCAACCCTCCTGCAGCTATGAGCGCCGGCAGCCTCCCGAGCTTTCGCGTCTGCTGTAGTATCAATACTTCCACGCCTGGAGCCTTGCGTTTCGGGAACCAGGGCATTTCCCCCAAAACCGTGGCCCAAGCTCTGCGCATCTCTCCCGAACTCCTCCTAGCGCAGAGCGAGGAGCAGCCCGAAGCTCCCAAGGGAACCCGCGCTCGCGGCCAGGTGTTCAGAGGGAATTTCCTTCCCAACATCTCCGCCCTCCGCAACGGCGCCCTGAGGATGGAGACCACCCCGGCCAGCCCAAGGCAGGGGTCCCGCGGCGACCCCGGCATCCGCACCCCGACACCCCGGGGGGCCAACAGCATCCTCCTCCACAGGACACGCCGCAACCGCGCTCTCCCCGACCTCGGGGACCCTTCTGCCCCCCTGCTGCCGGCTCGGCCCCCTCCGAGCCCCGCTGCACTCCAAGCCCCAGACCCCCCGGCCGCACCCACCGCCCCTACCCCGCCGGCCGCCCCTCCTCGACCCCTCACCCCCTCCCAGGGGTGACAGCCACCCCGGCGGGCCTCACACCCCGCAGCCCTGGGCGACCGCGTCACCTCAGGGCCGGGCCGAGCGCCGACCGGTCGGGACACGCGGACTCTGCGGGGACCTCAGCTCGGAACAGTGTCCGAGAGGGCGGCCGCGCGCGCGCGCCCCCGACGCTGCAGGACGGGGAGGGCAGGGGCGGAGAGGGGAGGGCGCGGTGCCGGAAGCCGCGCTCCGCCCCGCGCAGGACGCACCTGAGGGCGGGGCACCCCGAGGACGTCGCCGGCAGACGAGCGCGCTCCCGCCGCTCGGCCCGGCGCATCCCGGCGCAGGCGCGGAGAGCGACCCTGGGGGCGGGGCTTAGAGGGGGCGGGGCTTCGAGGGCGGGGCGAGCGGGCGCACCAAGGCCCGGGACCCCTGGGTCCGCCTGGCCGCCCGTCTCTGCAGCGCGGCCTCGTGGCTCAGCCCCCGGGGCCCCCGGCGCCTCAGATCTGCCTCCTTCGTGGAGACCTCGCCCAGCTCCCCCCGGGACACTGGCAGAAACAACGGGCTTGAAGTCAGGGACTCCGATTTGAGTCCAAAGTCTGCAGTATCCTGGCGTGTGACCTTGGTCCGCCGCCCCATCCTTATCTGCCTCCTGCGTCATACCCACTAAGAATCCTTTCTTCTCTGCCTCTCGGCTTTTGAGCGGTCCCCTCCCAGGTCTGCATTCCGCAGCCCCTTCTCCTTCCCGCCGCCCTGTGTGGGGTGCAGTGTCTTCGTGCCATCAGACCCTGACCTAGGACATGTGGACATTAAAAGATGCTTCAGATTCCGAAGTGTCCTCCTGAGAGTCTGGGATGTGGCAGATCCTGAGTCTTCCAAATGGCCTGAGACATACCGCATCTGTGGGAGATTCTATACCGCACTTATATTTGCTAAAAATGTAAACTGGTGTTTTGAGTTTTATTGCCCAAATTGACCTAAATGGTGGTCAGAGTTATTGCAAAGGAAGAAAAGCTCACAACAGATTTTTACTCTCCAGATTTCTGTATGGTCACATTTCTTTGCACAGTTTTTTTTACTTTTGGGGAATTTAACTATTTTAAGATCTTAAAAATTCCGTTGA